TAGAGACATACTCTCTACCACACAATACTTACTTGCACTGCTGTGAATAGGAATAATTCACACTGTTATGGATAGAAACATGCACCTTACCATCGGTTTTCTACAAATTAATTTCTGTTTCTAGAGAGTTGTAAAATGGCACTCAAAGGCAAGATTACACATCCCTTATATCAGATCATCCCAGAAAGTCTCATAAAATGCCCAGCATTCCATGGAAAGTTCACCCTGTGGTCTTTTCTGACTGTCAGGGCCTACATCTTGAGCCACTCTGCCAGCTCTTTTTTGTGAGGGGTATTTTCCAGATAGGACCTTGTGAGCTATTTGCCCAGACTGGCTTCAAACCAGGATCCTCCTGATCTCTGCCTCCTGAGTAGCTAGGATTATAGGTGTGAGCCACTGATGCCCAGCCATCTTTAACAATTTTTTAAATATATTATTAATTCCTCTATTATCAAACTATAAATTCTGTATCTCTGGTTGAGACTTCTCTGGCTAACATTATATTCATACATTCAGCAACCTACTAGATATTGCAAAGCAGCTTCTCTGTGCACTCATTACCACTTAAGCTTACTACATCTTGAACTTAAAATTCTACATAGGTTTCCCATCACTCACAGGATAGAAATCCCTTATTTTGCTATGCAGAGGCCTCCATGATCTTACTACCTCATTCCTATAACATTGAACTATCTTCCCAGCCAAAATGTGCTGGTTCTTGTCTTTGTGCCCATTTGTATGACCTCTTCTCTGCTCAGAACCACCTTGTTATTTCCCCTCCTTTCCCAAATAATTCCTATGTGCCTTTCAAAAGCTTGCAGAAGGACTTCTTTGATGTACTTTTTCTTCTCAAAATAGTAAAAAGAAAGCAAACAAAAACATTGACAAAAGTAAAAAAGTAACCATCGAAAAGAAGAAAATACATGTGAAAAGTGAATTTAGAGAGTTAGATATAAACTTCCTACTAAAGAGATCCTGACCTGAAAAAGAAAAATTCAGGCAGAGGATTTGTGTGTTTTGCTGGGGATCAAAACTTCTGCCTTGCACAAACTCTATCACTGACTCTACACCCCAGCTGCACAGCAAGTTCTTGAGAACAGCTCTTTACATATTAGCAAATAATGTACCAGATAGAAATGTGGATTTGCAGATTTTTTTCTGCACTGGAAAATGAACTCAGGACCTAGACAGGTGCTCTATCAGTTGAACCACTCTGCTAGTCCTTTTTGCTTTGATTATTGTTGAGGTAGGGTCTTACTTTGTGCCTGGGCTGAACTAGATCACGATCCTATTTGTGCTTCTCCGTGAAGCTGGGATGACAGGAGTGTGTTACCACAGCCAGTCATTGGTTGAGATGGGGTCTTGAAAACTTTTGACCCTTGGCTGGTCTTGAACTGTGATCCTCTTCCTCTCCACCTCCTGAGTAGCTAGGATTACAGGCTTGAGACACTGAACCTGGCTTTGAAGATTTGTTGTTTTGGTGGTACTGGGACTTGAACTCAGGGTTTCACACTTGCTAGGCAGGTGCTCTATTGCTGGAGCCACTCTAGCCGTTTTTACTCTGGTTATTTTGGAGATAGAGTCTCACTTTTGCCCAGGCCAGCCTGGACTGTGATCTTTCTATTTTACCCTTCCCTCTGTGGCTAGAATGACAGGCATGTGCCACCCTGCCCAGCTTTTTTCCTTTGGGATGGGGTCTCACAAACTTTCTTTTGCATGGGCTGGTCTGGAACTGCAATTCTCCTGATTTCAGCCTCCCAAGCAGTTTGGGATAACAAGTGTGTAACCCCTGCACTGAGCTATTCGTTGAGACGGTGTCTCAAATGCTGTTTAACTGGGTTGGCCTGGACCTTTGATCATTCAGAGTTTAGCTGCCCAAGTAATATGGATTACAGGCATGAGCCGTCAGTGCCTAGTTGCAGATTTTTTTAAACTCATAAACATGTTGATTTTCAGTTTTGAAACCAAAGCATTTCTTCTATCACAAGAAGCTCAGTAAATGCTTGCACAAGAGATAAAAAGTAGAGAAGAAAACAGTGGATTGGTATGTAATTAGATAATCTCTGCAAATTATTTTTGGCATAAAACAGTCTGAGAAAGGTCAGAGTTGATGCCATGGCCTTTTTTTTCCTTCTAGAAGGAAGCACTAACCAGAGTCTCAAGGAAGTCTTTTTTTCAGCCACAGTCCCTGTTAAGGAAATGCCATTGTTTTCTGCACAACAAACCACTAAGCAAACAAACATGTGGGTAAAGGAATGTCTCTGCTCATTTTATTTATTTATGTATTTATTCATTCATTCATTTATTTATTGGTGGTACTGAAGGTTGAACTCAGGGCCTCATGCTTGCTAGGCAGGCACTCTACTATTTGAATCATGCCCTCAACCGTTTTTGATTTGGTTATTTTTGAGTTAGGGTCTGGCTTTATGCCCAGACTGACCTGGACCACAGTCCTCCTATTTGTGTTTCCTCACATAACTGGGATGCCAGGTGTGTACCACTGTACCCAGCCATTGATAGAAATGGGTTTTCATAAATTTTGGCCCAGACTGGCCTGGAACCATGATCCTTCTGATCTACACCTCCTAAGTAGCTAGGAGTACAAGCTTAAACCACTGCACCTGGCCTGCTTATTTTTACTTTTTTAAACACCTTTACTGAGGCATAGTTATTGTACAACAAACTGTACATACTGAAAGTGTACAATTTGTTAACTCTTGACATCTATTATCTCAGTTGAGATAAGTGTATATATCATCCAAAAATGTTTCCTATGCCTCTTGTATTTTCTTGAGTTTTATATAAATAGAATCATAGGGTATATACTCTTTTTTTCTTTTTGGTCTGGCATCTTTCACTTCATATGATTATTTTGAGATTTGTTCGTGTTCTTGTGTGTCTCAGTAGTTCATTCCTCCTTAACTATATACGTTTATGTTTAAAGTTCAATAACATTGACCTCTGATATTATGACATATACATTTTGAGTTTTGTTCATAGTTACTAGCACATAATTGGCATGGTCTTTACTATTTCCTAAATGACTGAGGGATAAGATTAAAGTATTTGGTCTTTTGTCATTGGTTTCTGAAGCAGCTTCCCAACAGCTTCAGAGCTGTGAAGGTGAAAGATAATCTTCTATTATGTTGGGGGCAATTTAAACCTCAGAAGCAGACCCTCTCTCTGACCTCTTGCCCTCTTTTCACCTGCTCTTTTGTTTTCCCTAAGTCAGAAACTAGAGTTTCTTTTCCCTAAGGCGAGTCATAGAAGCTATCTTCCTGTCTTGGAGCTGGCTATGAAGAACTCTCCAAACTCCTTCGATAGTAGAGCATAAGACCCATTTCAGAAGTACTCCTCCCCCATACCCAGGAGAAAGGAATGCTTCATGGAGAGGCCCCCAACATCAACGTAAATAAAATTAAAAAAATTAAAAAAACCATCAATCCTTTAAAATATCCTTTATAGCAGGTGGTCAATATAAGTAAGTGTTTCCCTGAGGTCCATGAGCCCCTGTAGCAAATGAATCAAATGTACATTTGTACTGGTGGGTTAGATGTAGAGTATGGCAGAATTACATTGAACTAGATGCCCAGCTGGTGTCCACTGCAGAATTGGTTGCCTGCTTCCTGGTGAGGAAAAAAAAATCCTCACACATTTTGGGATCACAGAAGTGATCTGTACTGTGTGTAGAAAGAGAAATTGAGTCTGGTTTTCTTCTGTAGCCTTAGAAACTTGTTAAGAAAATTCAGATAGTCTATGTCCAAGATAAAAGGGTATTCTTGTTCTTATTAAAGAGTGTGGTGGTAGGGCAGTGCTATCATTGGTCTCCCACTTGTGCCTATTCAAAGTACCCTAACAGAGAGTGTTTCTCAACACCATGTGCTAAGAAGAAGTAAGTCCATATCAGGGAAAAGAAAAAGAGGCACTTTCCTGTTCATTCCAATTTATATATATATTAGGACAGGCACACTTCTGCCCACCTCTATTCAATCATGTTTGGATATACCTGTAGGTATAACCACCTTGTAAGAGTTCAGGACTGTCACATCAGGCAAATCATTTCATTACCGTCTAAGTTTCTCCAGGTTCTAAACTGGTTGAAGTATGAATGTTACCCATGCACCTTACACCAAAGATGAGAACTTTTCTTTTTCCCTGTGGTGCTTGGGTTTGCACTTAAGGCCTACACCTTGAGCCATTCCACCAGCCCTTTTATTGACGTGTTTTTTTCAAGATAGGGCCTCACGAACTATTTTTCCGGGCTGGCTTTGAGCCGGTATCCTTATGATTGCTGCCTCTTGAGTAGTTACGATTATTGGTGTGAGCCACTGGGACCCCGCTAAGATGACAACTTTTAAAAGCAGCAATGCACAAATAGCAACTAGGGCTGATACTGACTGTTCTGCTAAGAAGTGATTTTTTTTCCCCTCCTGGCTGGGACTGGGGTTTGAATTTAGGACCTCTCGCTTGCAAAGCGGGAGCTCTACCGCTTAAGCCACACATCCTGTCTATTTTGCTTTGGCTATTTTGGAGATGGTGTCTGGCAAACTATTTCCCGGGGCTAGCCTCGAACCTCAATCCTTCCAACCTCAGACTTCCAAGTAGCTAGGATTACAGTTGTGACCCACTGGCGCCTAGCTAAGGACTGATTTTTAAATCAGAAGGGAAAAAAACCCATGGATTTCAGGAGTTCTTAAATTGTAAATGGGTTGTGTTCTGCATGTTTGGAACTAAACACACTCTTTCTTACAGAAATATTGGTAAGTCTGGTAAAGAAATAACACATTCCGGGCATGTCATAGCCTGTCCTAAATATGAGGGTAGGGAGAGGGAGTGAGAGCACTGGTAAGAAGTACCTTTTGCTGCCTTTGCTCCCAGCATAGAGGAAGCCAGAGTAAAGGGACTGACTGACTGGCGTCCTAGAACTACAAGTCCCAGAGCTCCGCGGTGCAGTTCCTGGCCGGATGCAGTCTTGGCTCCCAGCATTGCAGGACCGGCTGCCTCGGACTCTGACTTCCCTGCGCCATGGCTTCTCCTAGCAAGGCAGTGATTGTTCCCGGGAACGGAGGCGGGGATGTGACCACCCATGGCTGGTACGGCTGGGTGAAAAGGGAGCTGGAGCAGGTAAGAGGCGCACGCCTTTCAGCAGAGGGAATGAGGGAGGGACGGGACCGAGGACTAAAGTTTGGACAAGTGTCCACCCCACCTCCAGCAGCCCTGTGTATTGTCATTCTTCATCTCTGCTACCCTCTCTCAAATGCCTAGAAGGCTTCCCCAAGGGCTCAGTTGTTAAATAAAAGGAACCCCTTTTAAGTATTACAGACGGAGTCCCCACCCCTTCCCCCATTTGCTATCCGTTCAGATTTGGGATTCCCCAGGTAATTGTACATCTATCTTAATTGCTTCCTGCTCTCAATTCTTAAAAATTTTAATATGTAATATTTAATATATACAAAGAATATATGGAACATTTGTGTGTATTATGAAGTGAATGTAACAAATCACCAAGCTAAAATCTTTTTTTTTCCTTTTTCTGTGTTGGGTGATCAAACCCAGGACCTCAGACCTGCTGCTACACTGCTGGTCCAGTTAGAACATTGCCATATCTTCTAAATGATCTATATGGTAGATCATTTCCCAGCTATCCTAAAATTTATTTTTCATTTGCTTCATTTTTTAAAAAATATTTTTACAACCCTTGTATGCACCATTTAAACAATATATTGACTGCTTTGTGAGCTTTATAAAAATGGTATTTTACTATATATAGGTTGTCTTGTGCATCTTTACTTTAAAAACCAACCAACCAACCAAAAAACCTCTTCCATAACCCAGAAGTAAGATTGTTTCCTGCGTTGACCTCCAGAATAGGATTTCAGTAGAAATAGAGTAAACACATTCAATAGAATAGTAGGTCTCTGGAAAAGAATGTGGCTGAAAACCATGGGCAGAGCTACAGACCAAAAAGGTCAGGGCTGGAGCTGTCTAAGAGGATGGGATGTCCAACTTTCTGTCCACATTTCTGTATGATGTTTTACCTACTATCTGGAGCACAGTCTACTTGGTTCTAGATTAGTCTGTTCAGAACACATTCACTCATTCTCTCTCTGTATAGATGTATGCCTTAGAGATAAACATACATGTACAAATGCAGACCTATATCTTAGTAGAGATCTACAGAACTGACTGGATAGAGACCTACAGATGGAGTCTGAGAAGTTGTGCATTCATATGGAATTCTCTAGCACTTACTTAACCCACTTCCTTTCATGATTTACTTAATTGATAAAGATCATATCAGGTGTCACACTTCTTAATAGCGAAGCTTTAGTTACAATTAAGCTCTTTATCATAGTTTTTTTTCCCCCCCTCATATCATAGATACCTGGTTTCCAGTGTTTGGCTAAAAACATGCCTGACCCAAGTAAGTTTTAAACTTGTTTTTAAATAGCCTCATCTTGTTGGGTTTTGATCTCACCTCTTTTGGGGGGGAGGAGGAGTAGAAAACAGGAATATCAAGGAAGAGAAACCAAAGGTAAATATATACCTAAGAATAATTAAAACAAGTATCTTGGGGAGGAGGGTGTAAACCAAAAACATGGAAAATTCTAGTAAGGATCAAGAAAAATACATGGGGTTGGAAAAATTTAATTGTGAACTTCAAATTTTTATTTTCCCTTCTATAAGTGTACATTTTCAGGCAGAGTTTATGGGTGTTCCATTTGAGACAAAGGCATCATAAAACCCTACAGCATCTATTTGAGGCCCTAATATTTAAAAATGTAATATTACCCCTTTTGTTCTGGTATGCCTATGATTTGTTGCAAGAAAGAATATATATACACATGAATCTTAGAATACGGTCAAGAGTTTTGACATTTACATTAAAACTTCGGAGTTGTGGCCAGGCATAGTGGCATATGTCTATAATCCCAGCACTTGGGAACAAAGGTAAGAGCACCTCGAGTTTGAGGCCAGTTTGGACTACATACCAGGACCCTGTCTAGAAAAAAAAAAGTTTCAGAGTTGAATTTTATTATTTCCTCAGTATATTTTTTAAAGAACACGGTTAAAAAAAAAAAAAGAGTAACTGTTTATTGAAATTATACATTTGGGTCTTTCAACCAGCAATACCCAAAATCTTGACATCTCTGTCTCTCATTGTGGTCATACAATTTAAGAGCTATAAAGTACTGACTAGTTATCTGTTAGAAAGGTGAGATAGTATGAGACTGAGACTGTCTCTATCAAATGACAGACTCCTTCTTTATCCTGAACCATAGTTACAGCTCGAGAAAGCATCTGGCTGCCCTTCATGGAGACAGAACTGCACTGTGATGAAAGGACCATCATCATAGGCCACAGTTCCGGGGCCATTGCGGCCATGAGGTACGATCTGTATCAAATTGCCACCCACTTTGTGGTCTCCAGCTGTGCTTGCTTGGGAAATAAATGCATATACCTTAAGTTTTCATTGCAGAGGAAACAGTGTTGACCTCAAAAGTGGTAACATAATCTATCTTAATTTCATCCTTGTTTGGTTTGTGGATTGAAAGAAATACATTGCTTTTTACTGGAATGCAGTGATCCTTTTAAAACCTAAGTGACTCCAAATCCCAGCAGCTTCCTGTCTCATAGCTCTGATGTCTCTACCTTCTACCCTTTCTCTTTCTTTCCTCACAGCTAAGTTTACTTACCTCATTGCAGTTTTCGAATGTGCCAAGTACACAACCACTGTGTCATGCTCTCAGGCTTCTACCAGGGACACTGTTTACTAGACACCTGCATGGTTTTCTCATCCTCTAAGTCTTTGTTTCAATGTTCCCTTCTCTAAACACTCCAGATCAGGCCCACCCTACTTGTTCCTGTTTCCTTTATATCTTACTACCTGTAGTAGTTTCTTCATCTGACATCCTATTTGTCTTTCTCCTACCAGTAGAATGGAAGCTCCATGAAAGTGGGACTTTATTCACTGACACTGAAATCCCAGTTCCTAGAAGAGAGCCTGACATATGGTAGATCTCAATAAATACTTGTTGGAGGGTGGCAGCTGTTATTTCCTACCTACCTGTAACCCCAGTCTTTACAGCTGATTCATGGGCTCACCCTTGATGCTCTCCATTAGAACATTACATCTTCCTCATTAGCATATCACATCTTCCCTATTAGCCTAAGGGATAGGGAGGGACTTAGCTGGCTGAAGTAGTCCAGGTTGGGCTTCTTCCATATTTCCTAGGCGGAAGGACAAAGGATACAGTTTTATTTGTATAGTTGTGTATCCCAAGCAGTCACTCAGGATATCACATGAATTACATGTCAGGGAATCTTGTCAAACTCCATACCCTTTAAGCCACGCTGGCCAAAGCTGTGGGAATAATAATGCTTTCAGTACAGAACTACCAAATTATGGTTTGGTCAGTGTAAAAAATGTTTTTAAGCTGGAAGGGGTTGTATAGAAAATGAGATTCCTTCATTATAGAAATCTGTCCCAACTCAAGGCCAGCTGAATTTTTCTCAAGCTATTGGCTGGTAAAGAGGTAAAGATGTGCCTTTAGAAAAAAAAAAAAAAAAGACCCCTGCAGAATTGTCATCAACTTTCTAAGAACTGATTCTAAAATAATGGGAGGCAAAGAGAAAAATGGATGCCAAAACCATCCATCCCTGTAAGAGTATGGTGGAACAAGAAAGTCATCCAATTGCAGAGGACCACTCTAGATGACCTGTCAATCACCAGGGAATTGTGCCTTTACAAAGGTGAGTGCTGATATCATCTTTGACAAGCAATCAAATTTAACATCACTAATAATGGGACACTGGGTTCATGTGCCCCTTAAGTGATGAGTGAAAAGGACACATTACCTATGCAGTATTCTTGCCAAAAATGTTTACCTAGTCTAATTATGAGAAAACAAATCAAGTTTTGCAGTATATAAGACAAACTAGCCTAAACTCACTAAAGAATGTCAATGTCATTTAGAAGTAACTAAAGAGCCATAAAAACCAAATGCAATGCATGATCCTTGACTGGATCTAGGATTGTGAAACAGTTTTAAAGGACATTTTTGGTGCAATTGGAGATAAATGAATAACAAATAATATTGTTATATCAATGTCAAATTTATTAGGTATAATAATGGTACTGTGTGTGGTTATATAAGAAAAAGGCCTTGTTTTTCGAAGATACATGTAAAAGTAAAGGGTGAAATGTGGCAAACTTAATGAAACTAGAGTGCTTGTTCTTTAAGCTTTTCTGTAGTTATTTTTTTTTTTTTCTTCCAAAGAAACAGTTTGGGGAAAAAAGTTTAGGCCCAAGAATAAAATTCTACCCCTAAATGTTTCCTGGTACAAAGAACTCTTGAAGATTCCTATTCCACATCCTTCCTTAGCCTAGTCTTTGTTGAGTAAGGATAGTCTGCAAATAGTTGCTAGGTGTCTACTTGCTGGGCACTGTTCTAAGCACCAGGAACACAAAGATCAATCATGCCTGTCCTTTAAGGAACTGATGATTATTGGGGGGATGTAATACAAGACAAATGGCTAATGCAATGCAATGTGAAATTGGTAGTAAGAGAGATCTATTTCTGATATTGTACAGTGTTTCTTAAAAAATGGTTCAGAGACCACTTGCATTAGTCACTTGGCCTTAAAATGCTGATTCCTGTACCTTAATCCCAACCCTTTGAATCACGTGCTCTGGGGCTAAGCCTGGGAATCTGTATGTTGACCAAGAAATGCTAATACCCACTAAAAGTAGATGAATGCACATGTGAAAGAGAATGATTACATTATTTTTAATTATAATCTCATCAAGCAGCTAAGGCTGCACTTATAGTCCTGCAGTTTACTTCCTATTTTCATATCAACCTGAATAGTATATTGCACATGCTTTCTGTAAGCTACAATCAGATGAGTTTTAAAGCAGTTTACTGAGTTTTTGGAGTCTGGATTTAACATTATATATTAGCTAACAACACTTTCATCTTTCCAGGTATGCAGAGACCCATCAAGTATGTGCTATTGTATTAGTGTCTGCATACACATCAGACTTGGGAGATGAAAATGAGCGTGCAAGTGGTAAGTCTGAAGGCAGAATACCCAGAAAAGCCTTTCTCCTACACATAGGCCTGCCTGTTTAGGTTATAAAAGACTTACTGTCTTTCAGATAGGGCAAAAAACCAAACCAAAACAAAACAAAAAATCTAATAGCACATGAGATTTTCAATGGGCAGCCTATTTATCCAAAGGTAAATAGTCAGAAATGGAACCAGGTTTCCCAATTCTCAGTTCAGATTAAAACTAAATAGATTTTCATGCATTTAATAGAGTGGTACTCTTTTCCTCTTTGAAATAAAATTTGTTTTACTGGGGAAAGAAAACATGGCTGAAGGTTGAGTGTTGGCTGAGAGCTCACAGCAATAGAGCTGTTTCAAGCTGGTCCAGGATATTAAATCACCTATTTTTGGATAAGTTAGGTATACTTTGAGAGAGGTAGACCTCTTTCCAACCCACAGTCTAGAACTGACTCTTAAAGGACTGGTTTTATTTGAGTGTTTTACTCCCTGTTCACAAGTAGCTATGGTGTCAAGTCTGACAGATCTATGTTTTTAACTCCAAACATAGGCTCTGATCCTTTGTCTCTCTGTGAGGGGCTTCATTAGACATTTTCAAATGTCTAGAATGGAGATTATTCATAGACATTGACAGGTTGTTTTTACTTTTTGTCCATAGGATACTTCAATCGCCCCTGGCAGTGGGAGAAGATCAAGACCAACTGCCCTCACATTGTCCAGTTTGGCTCCACTGACGACCCTTTTCTTCCCTGGAATGAACAACAAGAAGTGGCAGATCAGCTGGGAGCCAAACTGTACAAATTCACTGACCGTGGTCACTTTCAAAACACAGAATTTCATGAACTGATTAGTGTGGTAAAGTCTGTGCTGAAAGTACCAGAATAATCAGGATGCTCCTGTTACTTTGTAACCCAGTAGAGGAGAAGAGTAGTACATCTAGTACCAGTCAATTACTAGACATAAATCATTCATTTAAGCTCTGAAAGTGCCTGAAAAATACAAGTTTCAATGTTCACACAATGTTAGAAGCAACATTTTCATTTCCCTAGAATCTTACTCTTCCCAAATTGCTATAAACTACAGCGTATTTTTCTTACTGATATGGGACAGGATAATTTAGCCACCCTATTTATCCAAAGACAGTAAGTCAGAAATGGAACCCAGGCTTCTCAATTCTCAGTCCAGATTAAAACTATATAGGCTTTCATGTATGTTGTAGAGTAGTACTCTTTTACTCCTTGAAATAAAACGTGTATTTTATTTAGAAAACATGACTAAAGGTCCAGACTGTTGGCTGAGAGCTCACAGCAATAGCTGCTGTGTCAAGCTGACCCAGGATATTAAACTCAAACTTGCACTTTTACACTGACAAACATATCCCCCGACCCCAGGTCCTTCAGATAGGCTGAGAGAGAACAATATATAAGGATGCTGAGTCAGGGATCTCTTGGAATCAAGCAGGGAACTAAAGCACAGCCTATTATTTGAATTCTAACTTGTGTAAAATAAGACTGGTGGGATTAGGGTGATGTAGAGAGTTTATGCGCTGTCAGAATTGTTACCATGTGGAAATGTGACAAGGTATTGCCAATTTTCTGAGTTTTCATATGGTGGTTTTAAATTCAGGAAATATGTATGTATGCACATATAATCCATATGTATGTGAACTATGTCCAATTCATACATATGGCTTATGGCAGCTGGCGACAACAGTATAAATAAAAAAATGTGCAAACACTGCAATATAAAGAACGAGCCATCCTTCTACAAAGTTCAAGACTAAGATAATCAAAGTAAACATGTCAAAGGATGAAAAACATGGGAACAATTTGGATTTTGTTGCAAAGTCTTAAGTATTTTTTAAAATAACATTTCTGTACGTTAAGTTTTGTTCTATAAAGAGTTCAGTCTCTTAACTTTGTGAAGATCTCTTTCAAGAATTATTCCAGGACTTTTCTTCTGATCATACTCCAAATAACAAAATAAACCCTTTTTTCATTTCCCAATATTTTTTTGGCTACTATGTTGCCTGAGTATTGCCTCAAACAATTTCCATTGAATTCACACTTTATGTTGCAGAACCTGAATTTAATGCAGAAATGTGATATCCCAGTTTAACCCTAAAGGGGATGTAGCATGAAAAGCTATTTTTGGTTTCCAAGTGTTCTGAGACAAAGAAAAAGTCAGAAAAGATCCTCTAAACTTGTAACAGTAAGTATTTTGGGGGGATGGGAATTTTGGTAGATATAGTATGGACCTTCCTTTTACTTTATCCATATGGGAATTATGAAGTTACACTGAACATGTGTTACTTTTATACTTAAATAAGACTTAAAACAAAACAACTTATTTGACAAGTTAGTAAAAGCAAATTAGATACATCAGTTAAATAATCTTCTTAAAGAGGCCACTGAGCACTGATTTGACCAAACCTGTAATCAAAGTTTGAGTCTACTTGAATTATTTAGAATTAGTAATTATATTACTTCCTGCCTTGTTTGCCAAAGTTCATTCTTTCAAAAAGCCACAAATTTATAATACAAATAACAATAGTTAAAAAATACAAATAGTTCACAATAATTTCTCTCTTCTTCCATAGGAAAAACCAAAACACACAACTGAGAAATAACTAAGTCTGATATTAAGTTACTGATAAACAATTAAAATTGTTGAGCTGTGCTACCCAATTTGAGCAGTAGCCACAGGTAGCTAAAAATAATTAAAATTCAGTTTTTCAGTCACATGAGCCATATTACAAGTGCTCACCAGGTGGTTAGTGGTTACCTTATTGGACAACAGAGTATTTCCCTCATTATAGAACATGCTATTGGACAGCACTGCTCTAGTCCACATATTTTCCATTTTTCCCTTCCCCATAATCTAATGAATAATAGTTTGAAATAGAAGTAACTCCATTTGAAATTATTTTTTTGTGGTGCTAGGGATTGAATCTGGAGCCTTATACATGATAGACAAGCTATATCCCCTGGCCTGAAATTAGCTGTTTGATTAGTTTGCTTAGTTGATCATGGGTATAAATCATTTGTATATAAAATTCATTCATTGCCCAAGGATAATTTACATAACTATTAATTAAAAACCATATACTCATGGACTTATGATTTAATTCTCCATGGATCATTATTAGATACAGAGTGACCTTAATAGACTCTGGGGAACAAGTTACCTAATACTGGGCTTGAGGCATGGCTCAAGCAGTAGAGCACCAACTTTATAAGCCTGAAGCCCTGAGTTCAAACCTCAGTACCATCACCACCACCAAAACAAAAACAGAAAACACCTAATGCCAAATGGAATCAACTATATTAGGATTTCATTTGCAATGTGATTTTTTTTTTGGCATTATCTTGAATTTAGAGCTCCACAATTTATTTTGGTCTGTAGGATAAATAATCCATTTAACAATATAACAGAGTGCTGTATTTTTAAATTCTTTCTCCTTCAGTTAATATTCAGAATAAAAAACATGCTATGGCAAAAAAGTTTGTAGTCTCTTTATTCTGGTGAGGCAAGGAATACTTTTGTTTTAGCCAATGATTGCAAACTTAAATCAATCTCTGGCTATCAAGACACAATATAAAGTCTATATTTAGAACATAAATTGGTTCTTTCTCCCTATTTCTAACTTTCCTTTAAATTCCATTTTCTTGTTAAATAAATGACTGTGCCTCCTTGATAGCTCAGATAGGTCCCAGGAAGGATGGATATTGTTCTTACCATTCCAGCTCACATTGGGAGTGGAAGAGAAACTCTATCTATAGTGTCAGTCTCTCAGATCCTTCTGTTTGGTGTATAATCCAATAGTTAACATGATCTTTGCTATGAAGAGCTCATGTTATCAAATGCTAATTATAGAGGGAGTGAAAGAATTTATCTGATAAAAATTAACTACTGAGCTGGTTTTATTTTACTGATCCCATTTATCTCAAAATAAGTGTTTTGAAGCTGTACTTAAGACAATCTCCAAACTGGTTAAAAAAAAAAATACAACAGTGAAGGTCCACTGTACAGCAATTTCTGTGCAAAAAACACATCAAATAACTTCATGTTTTCTATATGCCTGAGGACTAGAACTCAAAAGTGCTGTTAGAACTGAGACAATCACAGCTTTCTGCTTATACATGATTTTTTTACAATAGAATAAGAAAAAGGAAATAAATCTGAAACAGGATAAAAGAATGGTCTCTATTACACCTCTTAAAGTGTTAATGGAGGGCAATGGTCTATTTTTAGTTTTAATTTTAGTTAAGTGATTAGACATTGTCTTAGTTCTTCCTTTCTGCAAAACAATATCACAGAATGGTGGTTTATGAACAAGAGAAATTTATTTCTCACAATTTTGAAGGCTGGGGAGTACACTGTCTGATGAGGGTCCACTTCCTGCTTCTTATCCTTTTTTATTTTGGGTGGAACGGGGTTTGAACTCAGGGCTTTGCACTTGCAAAGCAGGCACTCTACCACTGGAGCCACAACTCCAGTTCTACTTCCTGGTTCTTATGTGGCTGTCTTCTCTGTGTACTCAAATGGCAGAAGGAGCGATAGAAGAGCTCTTTGGGTCTCTTTTCTAAAGGTACTAATACCATTCATGAGGACTTTACCCTCATGATTTATCACCTCCCAAAGGCCCCACCTCCAAATGCCATCACACCGGGGACAAGATTTTAACATCTGAATTTTCTAGTGGTGATGAGGAACACAAACATTGCAGACATGAAATAAGAATCCAGTGTGAGAATCAACTTAGGTTGAGTTCTTTTCTGTCAAAGGATTTAATCAATAACCACTACTGTTATAAATATTAGTCTCACTAATTTGCTTCCCATACACTAGCTTCTTGGATTCTGCTTAACGTGATAAAAGTTTCTATTAAGATAAAGGGTTATTATCCTCAGCTGGACAAAATTCTGCTAGATGCTCTGGTTCTTGTGTTGATAACCTAAACCAGTTAATGCTTTCTCGAGCTTTGAAACTTCTTTGTCTTCAAAGCCTCCTCCCAATGTCCTCTTTCCAATTAACCAACTGCACAGACTGTGAACCCAAAACCTGTTCAGTTCAGGGGAGGGGCAGCATTGCATTAGAGATAAAACCCCAGTAGACCCCCAGCGGGGACGCTAGGAGTGCTTGCTTTTTGTCTGTGGCACACCCTTCTGCAGAAGTGAATTTTGTCTTGCTTGTTGACTTCTGAGTTGTGTTGTCTCTCTCTCTCTTGTGACACCCCAATATCTTAAAGATATTTTTAATATCTAGGGAAAATTTTAGCAAAGAATACAACTGAGTCAGAGTGAAACTTAGAAGACTAACAGAAGGAACATGAAATAAATGAAAACGATCATTAATATTTATGCACTAAAAACATATTCTTGATAATAGTCATCATTTGGAATTGAGCTGAGTATGGTAGCATAATACTCTAAAGAACACTGATATAAGAAATAGTGTAGAAAAGGAATGTTCCACTCTCCCCAACTCATAACTCAAGTTTGTGTACATTCCTGTACCTGTTACTCCTGCCTTCACCACTTTTAATTTCTTCTCAATGAAACCAGAGAAAATACAAAAGAGAAATGGTGGTAATGACCTGATATATAAAGTGTCCAATGAAGACCTAAATAAATAACTTTAAAATGAACACTTTTATGCTCCAATCATTACCATAGTACTTGGCAAATACAGGTTTGCTGGCTTTGTTTTCCTTGAACCATCAAAAGTCTTGAAAACTTCAAATGATATGGTCTTTCAGAGCTTCAACGTATTTTATTTCTTGAAGAATGAATCTCACTATTAACCTTACCTATTTCATATTCTGTTGGCTACTCTACAAATATAAATTTAGTCTTCATAAATTAAAAAAATATGTTTTCATAGCAGCAAGTCTGTAGCCATTATTGTGAAGGAGATTTTCAAGGAAATGATGTTCCATCTTGAATTATTTTCTCTCAAAGTGACTTCAGTTGCAAAATGTCAGTAAAGTTCATAGTTCTCTATTAAAATTCAAGCCACTCTGTCATATAAATGCAGTTAGATGGTGAAATCTCACCACCTTCATGGCAGTCATCAAAAACCTTTAAAACAAAAGTTTATATTCAAAATGAAGTTTTAAAATATCTCAAAGTCAAAATTTAAAGCAATATTAAAAAAATCTTTCAAATTAAAAGGGATTAGGACTATATTAAGAACATCTTGTAATAGTGCCTGCTTTTGTGATCTTTCAGTTAGTTAATGGGAGGGGCCTTTCTATCCACTGGGTAAAAGGATATTAGCAGGTAGCATAGGAATGGAGGAAGGAAGTCCTATAAATGTGGATGAGTTAATTTTGAATAAATGATTATTTCATTTTTAGCTACCTTCCTTTTTATGAAGGAGGCTAAATGGAATTCCACTGTTAGCTTTTGGTCTAGGAGTTGCAGCCAGGCAGAGAGCTTAGGCATATCGACAAAGGCCAGTATAATGAAACGGGGCAGACTAACAGCTCAAGAACACAAATGCCACGAGGACTGGGAGCATCTCTTGCTCTGTTTTGTAGCCTTAGTACCTCCAGTTCACAGATGGCACTCATAAACTACTTAGGAATAAATGAAAGTGCTAGGGCATGGTAAGAATTATTTCTGGGATTGAATCCTAGTAGATACTTAGATCTGCCCAAGCCTAAGTTCCCTCACTTTTTTTTTTTTGAACTGGATACTGGAGAATTGAACCTGGGGCCTTATGCATGTTAAGCATATGCTCTGACACTGCTATGCCCCCAACCCCAAGTTCCCTCACTCTTTAGGGCAAATAACACCACTAGCTCCAAGGACATGGGGAGTAAATGAAACCACAAATGAAAATCATTGAGAATAGGCGTGGCCATGATAGGTTTGCAACAAATCTCATTTTTCTCCCTACTTAGCCCTCATCCAAATGTCCATTTCAGGGCTAAGAGCAGAAACCACAAATGTCCTTAATGTGGTTATTCAAGAAAGAATGTAAGCACTTATTAAAGGTCCATTCATTAAGGGTATGTGGAGATTTGACTGACTCTTGGTCAGCCATAAGAGACTGGGGAAACAGCTGTGCTTGCTCTATTTCTCTAGTTACATTTTCTCCTGATGGTAGTCAAGGGTAAAGAGAAGTTGTTTTAACTTACTGGGCAGAGTCCACAGGGTGCCCGGACCAAACCTGTGGGTGGGAGGATTGGATTGACTGCTCTGTACAGTTTCATGTGTCCATCTACACTGCCGACTGTGCCCTCTTTTGCAGCTATAATAGTCATCTCCACTTTCCCATCATAAATAAGTGTATTCAAGATGGTTTCAATGTCCTCCATGGACAACTCGACCTATAAAAGGATATAAAAGAAAGTATGCATAAAGGACAAAGAGATACTCTTTTGGGGAGTGCTATAAACAGCAAAGGGAAAAATCATTTGAAAAAAATCACAAACAGTGAACAATGGTCCAAGTTGTTTAGCACAACCCATGGAAAGGCTAGAGACAGAAGTCTAACCTCATGCTGAGTATGACACTTTTGGATATCTTCATTATCATAAGAAAAATCTAAGAGTCTCATAAAATAACATTTCTTTGGCAGAATTTGATGGAGATTCTTAAAATGCTTGAGCAGAAAGATACTTTGCACATATAACAATCCAAGTTCCTAGTTCTTTGTCAATGAAAAATCTGGGGCCCAGGAAATGAAAATGATTTGTTCAAGTCCTACACTGGCTTCTTGGAAGTTATGAAAAGCATCAGTGTCCCTATGTATAGGTCTTCAAAAGGAGGCAGATACCACTACTTACAGCTCATAAAATAAACAACTGATGGCATGACTGATATTTTGCATACATGCCCAACAGTACATATATGAAAGAGTCAAGAACTTATCAGAATAAACTTTTGATTTTGGGTGGTGAGATGTAGCACTAGTCTGTAATCTAATGATATATGTCTCTAGCACAAGAATGGTTCAGCCAGTGTCCGATGGCAGTGACTGCCCTTGCCTAAGGCTTAAGACAGTGTTGTCTCAAAGTGACCATTCTGTTCATAGCTCTCACCTGAAAAAAAGGTCTGGGTCCACACTGGGAACACATTGTAAACTATATCCTTACGATGAAGAATAGGTTTTATACGAAAAGGTAAGAAAGTAAGTTCAGACCTTACTGATCCCCAATTCACAGATATATTTCCATACTTCATGTGATGAAGCAAACGAACTATTTCTTTGTATCATTGGATTCTGTTTACTTTCTCTTGCTGTTTCTGCCTATAAGAGTTGAAACATAAAAGATTTCAGCAAGAATGTTAGTGAATGTTTTCTGAATGCATTTATACTGAGTCAAACCAACAGCAGACTATATTTTGTTTGGTAAAAATTCCCAATTTCAGTATTTTTAATTTTATAAAATATGATATACAAGAACAAACATCTTTTATGAAGTAACTTTTAAAAAAGAGCTTGTAGTGATATCTCCTCAATTCTGCCTCACCTTGGTCTGTAAGAATTTGAAACACTGTTGGTTAAGCACCTCTACAAATTCAGATTCAAAATCCTGGTCACTGTACCAGGCTCCACCAGTCACAGACCGGTCTGGCTGCAGGTTGTAGAGCATATAAACTTTCTTTTTGGAGGCCTAGGAAAAAACATGCACAGTTCAGGTAACAGTTTTCAAAAACTAAATGCTTTTAAAAATAAATCTTACATTCTAGACCAGTTTTAGATATACAGAATTATTGCAAAAAGGTACTGATTTCTTGAACTTGTCATTATGTCTACAGTTAAGGCAGTCTTGGAGGAGGTAGGGACTGTGCCTTTAACCTATGAGAACTGCATTGCCACCAGCACCCACTTCACTTATATGACTGTTCAATTCTAGTAGCTATGTACAGTAGGATCAGAATGCTTCACCAGGACTCTGATGTGAAAGAACTTCATCGACTCCAGTACAGCACTCCTGTACATTTCCCTTTACCTTTAGTTTTACAGACACTGCTTATTTCTAAGTCAGCATCTTATACATTTACCCCACTTATTGAGGTTGTTTCCTACAAGCTATAATACATTGTTTCTTTTGTTACATTCTACCCTGGGATCCCCCTAACTCCTAAATGACTTAAAACATTTGTACACATTAAGATTACTCATTGTGTTGTAGTGTAATGTAGGTTTTGACATATGCTTAATGCTTATGTCATACAGAATAGTTTTGCTGCTATAAAAATATCTCTTGTGCTTCACCTATCCAATTCTCCATTCTCACCCTCAGGCCCTGGCAACCACATATCTTTTTACTCTCTCTGTAATTTTGCCTATTTCAGAATGTCATCTAGTTGGACTCATGCACTACGTAGTCTTTTCAGAGTGCCTTCTTTCACTGAGAAATATGCATTTAAGATTCCGTCATGTCTTTTCATGATAGCTCAGTTCCTTTTATCACTGAATAATAATGCAGTTTGATGATAAAGAGAAAAAATACCAGTGTAGTGTAAGAGACACTCTGCCAGAACAGCGATCTTCCTCTGACATACTCATTAATGTGCCCCAAGTACAAAGAGCAGTGCATGGCACATGCCAAACACACAATAGATATTTATTCAACAAGTAAGCTAATATGCTAAGATAAGTATCTCACAGATCACAAAACTAGGAAAAGTGTTCACGACTCCAGAATTTCTTTACTGAAGAAAGTAGTTTTAGAATTTGGAATGGGTAAGACATTAAGAGCTAACTAGGCAAAAAACAGCATCTACAAATCAGTCTAATATGAACTGATTTTTTAAAGTCTTGTTGGACTAACTGTTTTAAATCACAACTAGATTAAAGAATAAAAACTCGAAATACATTTCAGACAACATATATAAGTGAATGCTTGCTTTGGCAGCACATAGATTAACATGGTCCCTGCATAAGGATGACATGCAAATTCATGAATTGTTCCATATTTTTAGCTATCTTAAACAAACAAAAATTTCTTTTTTCAAAAATGGAGGGCAGGAAGGTAAAACAGGTCCTGCCTGGGGAATGGTACCAGTGGGAGAGGGAGGATATAAGGAAAGGGTGAAGAAGAGTATTTTGGAAATGTTATGGGCTTATATATGAAAACTGAAGAAACGAGACCTGTTAAAACTATTCTAAGGAGGAGGAAGGGGAACACAAGAGGACAGAGAGAGTGAATTTAACTAAGATATATATTAAGCACTTTTGTAAATACCACAATGTACCCCCAGTACAACTATAATAAAAATAAACAATAAAAAAATAAACCCAGCTTAGTTAGAAAGTTAAAAAAAATTAAGTGAATATTCAGAAAACTACTCACTGCTACAGACTTAACAGCTTTGATAAGCTTTTTACTTTCCAAATTCTTTAGAATTTTGTTGATTTCTGTTAATGGCAAGTTACTTTTATATCGTATATCTCTACTCCATATTCCTATAAGAAAGTAAAATAAAGTAAGTTGAACTATGGTGTTTATAGATTTTTGTTTCTAATTCTATAGCTGAATCTCATTCCTAAACTATCAAAATAAGCTAACGGCAAATCCTTTATATTGTAGCTAGACATTAGTGGGGCACCTTAAAAAAAAAAAACAGATGAAAATGACATTTTTATTAAAAAATGCAAAAAGAAAAAAAGACATTCAAATGTTGTTGAATTAACTTACATCACCTTTTCCATAAAATCTTTTACCCTAGTCTCTTGTTTTCTTCTTCTTTTTTTAATGTGATACTGAGGCTTAAACTCAGAACCTCACAATTACTAGGCAGGCACTCTACCACTTGAGCCACTTTGCAAGCCCCAGTCTCTGTTTTCTGATTTAGGTCACTTTAATTTAGGTGAGGATCAACTGCCATTCTCAAGTAGAAGCAAAAAAATCCCTTTTTAGCTGAGTGTTTGAAAGCATGTTCATTCCATTATTTATACCATTATTTATACCATACTATCTTGTGAAATGGAAAAAGGAAGTTGGTGGTTCTTACAGCTACCAAAAGCCTAATGTGGGTAGCCATGAGTTTTCTTTCAAAGGAGGAAGTAAATGCTACATGTGGAAAGGGAATGTATATAAAAATAATTTTGCTTAGCTGGGTATTGTGGTGCACACCTGTAATCATAGCACTTGGGAGACAGAGTCAGGAGGACTTCAGAGTTCAAGCCCAGCTTAGGCTGCATAGTGAGAGCCTGTCTCAAAAAACAACAACAAAAATTTTTATTTTCTTTCCAATGTAGAAACATGAGAAAGGAAGATTTTTTTTTTTTTCTTTTTGGGAGAGAATAGCTTTCTCTTAGGACTATTTTTAAAAATATTATATAACTAGTACATATAAAGTTAATTATATAATTTCTGAGTACATCATATTTTTTCAAGCTAGGATCAATGATTCAAATGGATCCTAAAGCATATTAACTGCAATCTTGACACAGATTTTTTTTTTAAGGGTCTCACTGTGAGACCCAGGCTGCACTCAAACTTGTGATAACTCCTACCTCAGTCTTTCAAGTACAGGTGTGTACCACCATATCAGTTTGAGCCTGTTCTTCAAGAGGGAGAGAAGGGGAAGTGTAGCTGTAGTGGGACATATATCAAAACACTGCTACACCACACTAAGCATAGTTCTGGCCCTTGTAAAACCAGAGAGGTATTATTATCCACAACTTATGATAAAGAACCTAAGACTTACAAAGTTTAAGTAACTTATTCAAGGTCATTGCTATGGTTTAATGTGTACCCCAAATTTCATGTGGTGGAAATTTAACCCCAAGTCATATGTTAATGGTGTTTGTGATGGGGGGGATCTCTGGGAGTGCTTGGAAGCTTGTGTCATCCATTTTGTGCATTAATAGATTACTGAGTAGATGGCTCTGTTGTAAAAGAAAACTCTTGTTAGGAATGCAGCTCCATGGTAGAGCACTTGCCCAGCATGTGGGAGTTGAATCCCTAGTGTTAAAACAAACAAAAACTTCTAAAAGTGAACTCTCTTACTAGCTTGCTCTGTTTCACCATGTGATACCACCTTAGCACTCTACAAACAATCCTTTCCAGCAAGAAGGCTCTTAACTTGATATAGCCTTTGATTTCTAGAACTCTAAGAAATAAATTTATCTTCTTTATAAAATTACCCAGCCTGCGATATTTAGCTACAGCAACAAAAAACAGACCAAAAACCTTAAGTTTTGAATACATAGTTCATTCAAGTGGCTCAGAGTTCAGAGGTTCAGTTCCTGCTTCCCTTAAGACAACAATGCATTCTTCTTGGTTATCCTTCAGGCATGTGTATGTTGTATATGTATGTTTTATTCATTTCTCCCTATTTTACACAAATGGCAGCAGTACATACTACATACTAAGCTTCATCCTGAGAAGCTGGGATCTCAGTCTTTATACCTAGAACCAAAATAATGTTTTCAGTTGACTCCTTCAGATGCTTACCTTTATTTCCTGCATCCTCTATGATTTGATACACTAGTTTTTCTTGGTTATCTGATCCCTTCATTTTACTGCAGGGGAATAAAGCAGAGTTTTAAAAGGAAAGGGGAAAAGATGTCTAATAATCTACATAACTACTTAAATGAATTAGCAGACAAGGTCATCACATTGACTTGTTCACCAAAAGAAGGGCTTACCTTAAAAAGAATGAGACAGAGCTGTATGTACCAACATGAAAAGATGTCCAAGATACAGTAAGTGAAAAAAACAAGTTACAAAACAGTATGGATAGCATGACCCCATTTTTGTTTAAAAAACAAAAAAGAAAAAAAGATTATATATGAATATAGAGTATATAAATATATAATCATTTATGAGTATTTATATATATCTAGAAGAAAGGATATATACCAAATTTTTAAGAACTATTACTCTGTAAAATGGAACATATGACAGAAAGCAGTCATGATACGCAGGACAGATTTACATTATGCTTTGTTTTGTTTTTTGAGACAGGGTTTCACTATGTAGCCACACTGACCTCAAACTTTTGATTCTCCTGCTTCAGGCTCCAAGTGCTGGGATAACAGGCGGTGTCACCATGCCCAGCTACATTGTGCAATTTTGTATTAGCTTTTATCCTAACACATGCATTACTTTTATAATTAAAATTTTCTGAAAATTAAAAAATATAGGCGCTTACCCAGCATTCTGAGAGTCCTTTATTCTATATAAAAGGCCTGTATTACTCCTTAAGAGATCCAATTGACCCTAAAGTTTTTTTTAAATAGAAAATAGGAGTCAATTATTTTGGAGACATGTCAATTGCAATGTTAAAACATTTTTAATATTTTTTTATTACAGACTAAAATATTCTCTCCTACATTTATTTGTCAGTGTCTCACTTGAGACTACAGTTTTTACCTATATGTCATATATAACATATTTTTCTAACCTTAATTATTTATCTCAAAATATTCCAAAATATCAATACTGATACTTTGGTATTACTAATATTGGTTGGTTACATGGCCAATGCATATAAATTTTAAAAAAGCAGCTTTGGAATAATACATAAAAATCCACATTCAAATCCAAATAAACCCAAATTATATATAACATAAACATAATAAAAACAAAATTTATAAAATTAAAACGTTATAAAATTAAACCGTTATAAAATTATAAAATTAAAACGTTATAAAATTAAAACGTTTAGTCATTATAGCACAATGACTAAAATTATGTTAATAGTAACATTTACTAATGCCTAATTTTTATTGTGTAATATGAAATTAGGCAGAAATGTCAATAAATGAATAAGAAGTTTATAGCAGTATCTATACATAATGAACCAAAAGTGAGATAAAGCATGTCCTCTCATACCTCCTAATTGCCTTGGGTCTAAGAACCCAGATGGCTATACCATTGGACCTCTGGCAGTTCTGGGAAAATGTGACTTAGAGGGGGCCCCATTCCTATGTGTTAACACTGGAAAGACTAATAACTTGGAATGGTATTTATACACTGGATGAATTGTGGCACCCTCCCTTTTTCACTCAGTCCCACCAAATGGCAAAGTGTGACCACAAATTGAGAGCTCCATTCAGTTGTTTATCCAGCCTAAAAACATTACTAAACACCTGTAATGTGCCAGTTGTTATGACAGTTATTTGGGGGTACAAACAGAATTTTTTTTAGTACTGTGGATTGAACATAGGGCCTCACACATGCAACAAGTGGTCTACCATTGAGCTATGCCCCTAGCCCCAGAAAACATGAATTCTAAAAGGGAAACATACAACTGACTTCAATATTCTCTGGCTGGCATTAAGAAAGAAGTAAGGGTGGACAGCAGTCGGAGAAAAGATGATGGGGGCTCGGGGTAGCTTCCTGGAAACAAAAACAGAGCAGAGACCTAAAGGGTAACAAGGAGTTTATTTATGAAGAAAGGAAATGCCCTTCTGACAGCATGAACCCAGGTCCTGAGTTATGAAACAGCATGATGTGGCAGGAAACCAAAACCAATGTTTCCTCTGAAACTTAACTTTTGAGGCAGAGTGGGGAAGAGATAAGTCTAGTGAGAAAGGCAGGGTGGTAAAACTAGGAGTATGGATTTGAATCTCTAGTTTTGATGGGTTTTAGGTGTGAGTGACTTGATCAGACTTGTTCTTAAGATAGCTCAGTCTTGGACTGGAGCTGTGGCTCAAGCGGTAGAGTACCTGCTTTGCAAGCACAAAGCCCTGAGTTCAAAATCCCTCCCCCCAAAAAAATATCAGTCTGGGAGCGCTGAAGCAGAAAGAGTCAGGTAGGTCAGTTAGGATGCTACTGTAAGAGTTCTGGTAAAATCCAAAAGCCTGAACACAGGCAGAGGTAGGAGAAATGGAGATGAAGTGGACAAATTTGAGCATTATTTAAAAGATAAAACCAGCAATCCTTATTGATTTATTAATAATTACTCCTTTGTTCAAAATTGTTTAACAGCTCTACCACTGACTACAGCCTATAGCTAATAGGACTGCCAGTGGGGGTTGGAAAGAGGGAGGCATCGAGGATGATGTTGATCAGAAAGAAAAGAGCTAAGAGGGAGGTCAGAGGACAAAAAGGAGTACTAGCTGCTATCACGACCTCCCAGAATCCTTTCCTTCATTCTTCTTGGAGCCAGAGACCTTTCCATGGCAAAACAACTAGAATTCACCAACACTTCTTTTTCTTTGGGCTAAAACTGGGGTCAGCAATCTGGCCCATTTTATTTATTTTTTTAAACAAATACAGTTTTATTGGAACAGAGCCACACCCATTTATTTATTTATCAGTCCATGGGTGCTTCTTGTTAAAATGACAGAATTGAGTAGCTGTGACAGAAACCAGATGGCCACAGAGCCTAAAAGATATTCTATCTACCACTTTATAGCGAAAGTTTGCCAACCCCTGAGATAGAAGGTTGAAGAGAATGGTTTAACAAAAGATTCACTTGTCTCCAAATATCCATAGAGTGATCCCACAAAACTAGCAGATTTAAAAAGCAAATCAGTCATTCTGATGAGGCCTAGCACAGAACTACCTTACCCAGTTGCTAATAAAAACAAACTGAAATGCTCTCAAGAAATGTGAGCTTTGATGATGGGGGAAAAGAAGGAGAAAAAAGTAAATTTAGAGTACAGGGCACTATTAGATGAGTGTTTTTGGAAAGGTGGAAAGGATGGCAATAGGGTCCCAGGTTCTTAAGGAGGAAAAAATAGGTAAGAGCAAGGAGAAGGGCTTCATTGAAAACTCCCACTGCAATGGCTCTGGAGGCTGAGGCTATACTTCCTCCCAAAGGTTCAGTAGTCCTGACACTCAACTAGACTTCTTTCTGTCTCTTGAAAAGTTCAGTGACACTGTGAAGAGTGAGACTCTAAAGAATGTGCTCTGTGATGACTCACAGAAAAATCAGAGGGGAAATATTTTACAGAAAATGGCCCAACACTGGCAGAGGAAGTAAATAGAAGGTAAGAACAAACTATGCCCATATGCTCTCATATGTCAATTAGGTTCATAAATACAATAGTTATAACAAAATACATTCATTTTACTCATCTTGTCAAATGGTGCATAACTATTTCCTTTTTCAATTCAGGCAATCTAAGCTATTTCCTAGTTTGGAGTCTTATTAGTCACAACCTAACATACTTTCTGGTTTTATGGCTACTGTATTCTTCAGAGAAAAAAAGAAAACCAACAGGTCCACTAGAAAGACACTTTTTAAAAGGTTATCATTTCATGTGATTATGGAGGGTGAGAAGTTCCATAACCTAAGCTTTGCAACCTGGAAACTCAAAGTCAGTGGTATAGATCAAAGGCCTGAGAACCACAGAGCCAATGATGTAGATCCCAGCTGGAATCTGCAGGCTTAAGAAGCAAGAATGCTGAAGGTACAGACTGATGTCTGTGTTCAAATAGGTAGAGAATAAATTCAACTCTTCTCTATCCTTTTGTTCTATTTAGTCTGTCAATGGATTGGGTGGTGCCCATTCACTTTGGGGAGGGCCATCTACTTTCCTCAGTTCACCTACTTAAATGCTACTATCTTCCAGAACACCCCAGAGACAATGTTTACCCAGATGTCTGAGAATCCTGTTTCCCAATGAAGTTGACATGATAAAGTTAACCATCACAACTACATAATAGGAGGCAATGAGAAATTACATGGAGTAGTTGAATTCACCTTACCATGGACAACAGTCTATTGATGGCCACTGCCCGTTGTTGGGCTTCTATATGAGGCATTTCATTCTGAATTACTTGGTCTGTGATTCCATGCGGGAACTGGTGGCATAATTCTACAATTCTAGAAACAAAGTTATTAACAATATAATTTATGTTTGCTTGTTTCAAGAGACTCTGTGTGTCTGTTGGGGGTGGGGAATACAAAGAGAACAGTTACATATTAAAGGTGAGACTTCAATTTTCTTAGCTGGAATAAGTTCAACAAAAGTAAGCCAAAAATCTTTCATCAGGAAGCAAATGCAGACACCTCTGGTGGGAAACCAAAACTTGTTATGGTAATTCAGTTTAACTATGAACCGTTTTTGGAATTATCGCTACCAAACAAGTTCAAGTCTTGTCTTACAATCAATAAATATGTTATTCATAACAACCTGAGAAAGTTGGGCTCTTTTAAAACTGTGATACCCTAGAAATAGCAGTGCACTGGAAGATTAAATAACATCAAGAGAAGCTTCAGGGCACTCACTGAAAGCATTTGGCTTAATATTGCTTTATAATCACAAACTGAACCCTAATTGGCCTAAGCGTTCTGTTGTGGAGTTCCTTTGGCGATAAAGCAACCCTGGATTGGAACATCTATCCACAAGTACTACGGGAAAAACGCACGTTTCTTTTCAGGGCCCTGATTGCCAGGAGGTAGGAAGGGCATCGGGCCTGCCTGGGTGCCAGTCTCTGGCCCTGCTAGGCGTGTCGGAGGCCAGGCAGGCCATGGGCACTCAGGCACACTGCTTGCTGAAACAGGATTTCTGTGCTTGTGTTTTTCCATAATTATATTAGCAGGTGTGATTTTTTCCTTGGGGAAGCAGTTTGAGGGGGAGCGCCATGGCTGTGTCCCCACCCGCTCCACATCACTGTATGCCGGCAAAGCCAGTTACCTAAAGTTGCAACCTTCAAATCTTCCTGGAACTTAACAGTTCTGCTCTCCCGGAATGGGTAGCAACCAGAACCCCGCCAATCGCTTTCCGGCTTGCTCTCCCAACCAGCCTCTCCCTTGGAAATGGGGTTCGCTGCACAGTTGACCAATCTGCGGGGAGGACTGGAGCCGAAAACTGAGTCTCACTGGTTTACCTGTTTTCTATTTCGACTGGATCCGCGTCGGGCGGCTGCACCTTGACCTTCACCTCAGCCATGAGTGCGCAGCTCCTGACCCTGCAGGAAGAGATATAGCACGAAGCTAGCTGGAGATGATCCCCGGGAGCCCGCAAACTACAGCGCCATACTCGGGCGAGGGGCCTTTTTTCTCGTGTCGCAGCTGGTCCTTCCTTGTCTTCTGCTTTGAGGCGGCCAAGCCGTGCCCGCTCAGTCCCACTCACTCCCGCCGCTAAGGGCTCTAAATTTTCTTGTTTAGAATGTCAGTGCCTATCGGAGAAAAGATCCTGGTTTCCTCGTGCTGAATAGGGGCGCTACCTTTCTAGTATTTTCCAACTTCCGTGTAGGCATATTCTCAGATGCCTACGGTGAAGTCTTTGGAGAAAAAATCCTGTCTGGTCTAGTCTTTTCGTCGAGCGCAAGGGGAGGGGCTAGTTGCTAAGAAGCCGATTTTCCCGCCAATCATCTGCTCAGTTCCCAGTGGGCAGGGCACGGCTCGCAGCGTCTGTGGTAACCTTGTCGGCCGGGAAGGCGGAGGCCAAAGGCGGTGAAAGGCTGGTGACCCATTTGGGGGCTGCGCAGGTGCCTCACCTTGGGCTGGTGTGTGTGGGAGTGGTTCCTGATCTCGGTCCCCCAGGCTGGAGGAGAGGGCCTCCCTCACCGCATCCGAAAGGATGCAGGCCTCTCTTAACTGGCCCGTGGGCTCGAGAACCAGACAGGGCTGGGGATAGGGGGACGGGGGACTGGGGAGGACAGGGGGGCGGGGGATGCAGCAACGAAGTGGTCCAGGAGGAGGGAGCTGGGAGGTGGTAGTGAGATGTCATTGACCGTACGCTGCAATTTGCACCTAGCAGATTGTCCTCTTTCTCTAACCCCTCTGCGTGAGGCCCACTGGCCACCCCAACCTCCCCTAAGGACAGCTACGAGTCCCCACGCAAGAATTAGCCCCCCTCCAACTATGTTTATTTAGAACCAATTTTCCGAGCATTTTTATTTTAACTACCCTTTGTTAGAATGGAAAGTACTGTTTGTGCAAGTCCTCCCACGTCCAGCCTCAGTTCCGTAAGATCAATTGCTGCTCTATCAGGACCTGCAGTTCATGTTCTTGGCCCTCGACCTAGAACTACCCAAAAAGGCATTGAGCTCACCTACTAAATTTAGCCATCCCACTTTAGAGATTATAGTCTGACAAAACCCAAACCTCAGAGATGTTTTGAGCAGTGTTAGAATTGCAACAACCAAAACTGAAAAGACTCCAGAAACAGCTTTAATGTGTAACCACAAATTGATAAATAAGTTTATATAAGTACACAGAAAATCATAAATAATAAAATGAGGATGCAAAAATACTATAAAAGTTGAATTAATATGTAGATTATAATAGAGTAATTATGTATCCATAACCACTGACCTTTGAAAAGGCAATATATAGTTGGAAATGGTTTCTGTACTAAGGGCAGAGTTTTTTATTTTGTTCCCCTGAAATCTTCTATGTATTCAAATTTATGACACCCACCCCAAAAGAGACTGTAAGGTCTCCCTACTGATTGTTAATTATTTATAAATATAGTAGAAGAATGGGAGGCTTGTTTGTTGGGCACTGTTTATATCCTTGCCAACTTCCTTTCCACTGAGAGGTGATGTTTATAGTCCTTCCAAAGTGTCTTTGCAGCTTTCAAATACCAAAACCACTGTGGTGACAAAGGTAGGGAATGGAGCTTTCCCAAAGGAGTTGGTTTTAAATTAACATTTCTTACTACAGATGACTTATTTTGTTACCCATGTATGATGCTATTCCCAGAAGTGATGACTTTTCTTGTGTGATGACTTGCCAAAGATAGTACAGTAGCTGGAGACAGGAAAGGGTGATACTGATTGTAGGGAACTGAAGTCTGGGCATTCATGGTGGTCTCTGCTTTGCCTTATTCATTGAATTTGACCATTCATAGTAACAATGTTTCCCCATTTCATTCATTCATGATCTTCTCTTATAAGTAAGGTGTTTAGGTAATCCCCCTCCCATAAGACCGCAACAGCAAAAATAAAACTGAAATGTAATAATTATTTAATAATGTAATAATTATTTAAATTAAAGATGCTCTCTTTAGGTTTTATTAGTTTTGCTGCATTTAAATGAGGTACTGCTCTTGAGTTTTGTGTTCAGCTATAGATGTATGATGGAATTTATTTTTATCTAATTTATTTTGCTATAAGGAGAGAATATGACTGCTGGTTCAGTGTGTGCCCCTCAGATCATACCACTACGAGTGCCTGAGCCTGGAAAAGCTAACAATGAAATTGATAACAATACTCTTTTGGAAATGAAATCCGGTAGGAATCACGTGTATCTGAAATTGTTAAAAATTACATTGTCATACTTTTTGTGTTCATGATGTTGTTGATTTATCTCTTTGCATAGTTTCTATAATCCAAACTTCAGGAACTTTGTAAAATTTCTACAAAAATGTTTTATATATATATATATATAGATAGATAGATAGATAGATAGATAAAAATGGTTAGCATTGACTGAACTTTTACTTGTATTGGTACATAGTTGCAATACTATCTTGACACACCTTAGCCAAGGTAAGATGTACCCTTGCTTCCCCAGACTTTCCCAAGATGCTCATTATTTTGCTGGGATAATAAATTTGACCTTCTAATACAGGCTTTCTAATGAATCACTGTTTGATAACTTCTAGTGACCTTGGGCGCATTAGTCTTTTTGAGTTTCAGTGTTGCCATGGTAAGATAGGATAATCATTTCTAACAGTTAGTGCCACAGTGAGGATAAGATGAGTTGGTATATATGAGATGCACAGGGCCTGACATATAGTAAAAAAAGTCTTAACTTTCATTACACAAATAAAGCAATGGATATAATATTTATTCTTCAAACTCTTTTTTTTTCAGTATTCTTTTTTTTTAAATTTTATTATTCATATGTGCATACAAGGTTCTTCAAACTCTTAAATATACTTGTTTGTGTATATATTTGTACATAATTAACTTAGGAAAGCTTATAACATACAAACAAATATTTGTATGAAAACACTGAGTTTCCAGTTTTATAACTGAAATATTTACAAACTATTCATCTGCATTTTAGTATGATCCCTGTGCTCCCTAGACCAAGAATTCCAAATAATAATATGCTACATTGTACTATGTCTTCCTTTATCTTAAAAGCTAATATGAAGCCAGGTGCCGGTGGCTTCTGCCTACAATCTTAGCTCAGATCAGGAGGATAGTGGTTTGAGGCCAGCCCCAGCAAATAGTTCATGAGAACCCATCTCAAAAACATAACCAGAGCGAAATGGACTGGAGGCATGGCTCAAGCTGTAGAGTGCCTGCTTTGCAAGTGCAAAGCCCTGAGTTCCAACCACAGTCCCGCCAAAAAATAAAAGAAAAAGAAAAGCTAATATCTGATTTAAAAAATCATAAAGCAAAATTAGAAATTTAATATATGTGCTATAACTCTTAGGAAAAGTTGAATGATTTTTGACAAATGGTGATATGAATCAAAACTCTGTAATGTGTAAATGTCAAATACATAAAGAGATCCCACAGTTCAATACTAAAAAGAAAAATAGTCAATAAAAGAATAGATACCAAAACACATTTTAGGAAAGGAAATATAAATGTCTTTTATCCAAATTAAAATATGCTTTACTCATTCCTTCACCTGCTCACTGGGCAGAACTTATCTCTTGCTTAATTTACTGTGTAGCACTGAATCACTATCTGACAAACTGTATTGTTTCTTTACTGTTTATATGTCCCTCAAATATAAGCTCCATGAGAGCAGGGAAATTGGTCGTGTCTGTGTCCCTGGTGCTTAGAACAGTGTCTGATAAATGATAGGCACCTAGGAAGCATTTTTGTTTAATGAGTAAGTGAATCTTACTCAAAAGCAAGAAAAGGGGCTAAGGATATAGTTCAGTGGTAGAGAATGTGACTGCCATGCACAAGGCCCTGGGTTTGATCGCCCAACATCACCAAAAAAAAAAAAAAATCCAGAGTAAAGCTACAAGTACAATTTTTTTACCTTGAAAATTAGCAAAACTAAAAAGGAAAAATTGATACCATATTATATATGGGAGATTGTGCTGTACAGGTACTTTCATGCCTTGACATGTGTATGGTAGAGTAAATTACTTAATTTTCAATGGTAGGCAGTTTGGAAACACTAATCAAAATTACAAATGCACTTATCTTTGTTTTCCTTTATTGTTCTGCTCAGTGAGGGTACATTGTGGCATTTACAAAAGTTCTTACAATGTATTAAATGTATCATACTTGAATTTACCCACCCCACAGCTCTTCTTTATCTCCCCCTCCCCCGATTCCTGGAACAGTTTCAACAAGTATCATTTTTGCATTTACATATATGTGTACACATTTTTTGCATGTATTCATCCTCCTATCCCCTTTCCCCGCCACCTCCCCCTTCCCACTGTTACCAACCCTCCCTATCTTTTGACTCGGCGATACTAGTTCTACATTTGTTTTTTTTACAAAATTACTGATTTCAAAAGAAAAAGAAAAAAGAAAAGGAAAATGTAAGCAGCCTAAATATCCATCTGTAGAGAAGTAGTTAAATTATTATTCATCTATATAAGAGTGTGATACAGGGCTGGAGGCATTGTTCAAGTGATAGAGCACTTACCTAACAAGCATGAAGCTCTGAGTTCAAATGTGAGTAACCCCCCAAAAAGTGTGATACAGCCATAATAAAGAATGAGGAAGCTCTTTATGTGCTAAAAATAAGACAATATTCACTTTGTTAAGTGAAGCAAAGAAATACGTGGAATAAGGTGTTTTATTCCACTCTTGGTGCAAAAAAGAAGTGGGAAATAAGATTATGTGCCTGTATGCTTGCATAGCTATAAAATATTTTTGAAGGATACTCAAGATCCCATTGGTTGCCTGTGGGCAGCTGGTGTGAGGGTTGAGAGGAGGAATTTTCATCATATAGCCATTTTTAACCATTTGAATTTTGAATCATATCAATTTATGTTTAATTTTTTCCTAAGAAGTATAGGAGTCATTTCCTGAGCCCAAATTTTAAGAAAAAGTAGCTTCTTCTTTTGATATGAATGATGTTGTCTTAAAATTGATCCCTGTTCTATTTGTATCAATGACCTATTGGAGACACAATAGGGTAGAGTAGTTAAAGAGCAGGGGCTATGGATCTAACCTAGCAGAAGTCAAATTACAACTCCACTTTTTTTTTAACAAGTTTGTTATTTTCTTGGGACTCTGTACCTCATCTATAAAATGGGTGTAAAATAGGATCTGTCTCATAGAGTTGTATAGATCTGTGCTAGCGAATTATTATTGTTATTATAATTACTGTTAGATTGTTAGTTACTCATTTCCTTTAAATCATATATATATATATATACATATACATATATATATACACATTATATACACATATACATATATATATGTACACATTATATATATATATATATATATATATATATATATATATGTATATATATTAAAAACTCTCCCTTATTCTCTTCTTAAATGACTGGGCATTGATTAGGGACTTACTAATTAATTACAGTTATCTTGCTTTGGATTTTTTCAGACACTCCAGATGTCAACATATATTACACCCTGGATGGAAGCAAACCTGAGTTTCTAAAAAGAATTGGTTATGGTGAAAATAATACATTTAAGTATACAAAACCTATTACTCTCCCTGTTGGAAAAATACAAGTTAAAGCTATTGCAGTCACTAAGTAAGTTAAGAACATGGTGATCAAACTGATTTATAATATAATAACATTGTTGTAATTATATTTATTTCTTCCTATGAGAATCAGTGCTACATTAGAAAGGCACTTATGAAAAAGTTATTTTTTTCCTTTGGTACTGGGGTTTGAACTCAGGGCTTGGCATTTGCTAGGTGAATGCTCTATCAAAGGAGCTATGCTGCCAGCCCAGAAGAAGTTATTTTAATTTCAGCATATATGTAAGTTTTGTGTTTTATCTGTCTTTTATTGAGGCATACTATAAAGTGAACAAATCATAGGTATACAGCTCAAAAAGTGTTATGTATACTAATATTGTTTTTATTTCAAATTCCCTTAGAACTTTGGGGTTCTAAGAAGAAAGAGCCTTTCTAGGGCTGGGAACCTCTAAAGATCTTCATCTGACTTTCAGGAAACCACTGTGTTTAGTGGATGGTTCTTTTATTTCCTACTTTTGGGCCTACAACCACCACCACCATTGTGTATTTCATTTGGTTTTGACTTAATTGACCTTCAAAGCTACTGTCATTTCAGCATGGTAGACATTTGCCACTATATTTTTTTTCCCTTTGCTACTCTGACTTTTTCCCACTTTCAAATATAGAAATACCACTTAATTTGGGAACCTTCACCATATGTTGTAGGTAAGAAAATCTCAAATTTTTAGCAAATGATAGAATCATTTTGTCATATTGCTTTGGCCATAATCTGGGAACCCATTTAAGTCATACCAAATACCTGGCACCCCAGGTATTTTAAAAAGACTCCCCAGGCTCTCACTGCTGGCTGAATTATTACATGGCTTTTTGAGAGGAATTACAACTTATCCACCAAAGATTATTGCTTTGGCATTTGGACATTTAAGAAAAATAATAAAATGAAACAAAACAAGCCCTTCAAATATGTCATTTTTTACTTATTAAATATAAGATTATTTATAGAGTAGAAAATTCTTTTCTCACTTGCCAACCACTTTTATCAAGTGGCTAAACTATCAACTATCATTAAGAATTAAGAAGCTGCCTCGAGTTTAATCCCCAATACTGCCAAAAGAAAAAAAAAGGAATTAAGAAACTAAGTACTCTAGTACTCTGGTCGGCCTAATGCTATAAGGCCCTTGTAGAGGCGGCAGCTAGTAGCCAGAGAAAGAAGTAAGTTAATGACTCCTTTTTTGGAGGTGGTAATAAAGCTTTCCAGACAGTCTAAAAAAACAAGATCATTCATTATGCCTCCTACCAACTTGCTCTGTACCCACTAAGTCTCTATTCTGAAGAATACTGTTAGTATGTCAGATGTATTCAGCTCAGGGAAGGTGTTTATACCAAAATTTTTGAAAAATTCAAAAAAAGTAGTGTTTGTTTAGGCTTGTATAAAATAGTTATTTTTGGAAATTATATCAATTTCTAGGTACTTAAAGTAATTAGTTTTTTATAAGGGAACAAATGACTTTGAATGAGACTATTAACAGTTAAAGGTCCATTACCATATCAAAACAGGGAAAATTATGATCATGAAGTTTTGGATGACATAGGAAAATATTTATGATACAACAAGTGAAAAAGTTAGTATACAAGTGTATACTATGTTATTTTAACTATGTTTAAAAATGCACGGAGAAAAGACTAGAAGAAAACATTCCAAACTTTAGCAGTCATTGCCTTTGGTGAAGTAGTTGTGTATGTTTGCTTTTTTCTTCTTGAAAATTTTAACGGCTTCAAAAATTTAACAGTGAGCATCACTTTTATGGTAATAAATAAAGGAATAAATAATAAACAATAACTGAAATTATCATATAGCCAGTGCTTCTCAACCTTGGCTGCTCAATCAGATAGCTATTGCTGTAACAAACCACTGTGAAACTTAGTGTCTTAAAAGAATAGCCATTCTTTGCTTATTATTCTGTGAGTCAGCATTTTAATGTGTATTCAGCAGGTTGGTTCTGCTCGTCTTGCCTGGTATCGTTAATGTGAATACAGTTTGTTTTTTTTTTAGAGCTCATCTTGAAATGGATGTTCCAGGAAAGCATGACTTGAATGTCAGATGTTAGTTGCTTGGCTATTGATTAATCCCTATATTCCAGTATGTTTTCCATGTGGTGCCTCAGTTTCAAGAGTAGGCGCCACAATGTTTTTCTAGTCTGTGCTTGTGTCACATTTGCTAATGTTTTCTTGACCAAAACAAGTCACATGGCCATACCCAACATCAATGTGGGAGGGGATTCTACAAAGGAATGGAGGCAGGAAGGCCTGGTGCATTGAAGACTGTTACTGTACCAATCTACCACAGGTGCACATTAGAATCACACAGGGAGCTTTTCATATTCCCTATGCCCAGCCCATACCCAGAGCAATTACATAACAGTCTTTTGCGGTGGGACCAATACATCATTATTTTTCAAGTTTCCAAGTCATTCCAATATGCAGCCAATATTAATATCTCTGTTCTTGGCATACAAGCCAGGTGAAGATCAATCCCAAGAACATGCGCTGCACCATGATGATGTAGGGTATGTTGGTGACAAAGTAGGGTTAATCACAGACATTAGATGACTCATAGTCTCTTTTTCAATGAGAACAATCTCACTGAGATACATCACTAGGAAAACCATGGTTCTAGTGTTTCCAGTTTCAATAAAGTAATCTTATTTTTATATAGTGAAAGTGATAATAAAGTTTATTAGGAAAGGAATACACTTTAGTAGATTGAAAGTAGGTCATCTTGAGAATGAGAACAAGAATGATCAAAGTCATCTAACTTCTGTCATAAATGTTGATTTGGCACCTCTTGGCTGGTCTTGGGATAATTGCAGCCAAAAGATTAATGTCTACAGATGTCTCACAATCTTTCTTATTTGGATGCATGCCTTCCGTGGCAGAAACAAATACCTTGTCTGGTTGGTAAAAGTGTGGGAAAAACATGATAATGGGTTTACCATTCTTGCAGTTGCTGACACTCAACTGTCTTGAGCCCAGGCCATTTCTTTCAGATAGACAGAAATCAGAGTTATTGGCTAATATTTCTGTGAGTACCTTATACCAAAAGGTAGACATTCCCTGTACGCTCTCAAAGCCACTGAAGGTTATGTACACTCACCTGTAGAAGACAGATGGAGATATATAAAGGACATTGTCTTTGGCTATTAAAGGGTGAAAAGAATACCCATACATTCCATTAATCACATTGCACTTGTCTGTTCTACACTAATCTGGTGATGTTTTTCCATTCTACCCCACAATCTTTGTAAAGTTAAGGTAATTGTCTTCTCCAGTTAGAAAAACAGTCTCTATCAATAACATTTTTCTTATAGAACAGGCCCAAACTGGGGGAGATCTAGGGACTGAAAATGTGGATGAGACAAGATCTCATCTTTGTAGCCCCAGAGCATTTCCTCATACATGTGACTCACAAACATCTGTTGATAGGTTTTCAGCATGCCCTCAAAGATCTCCCTGAGGAATTGGACCTGAGCCCATTCTGTGACAATCAATACAGGAATATTTAATGTTCTCATTAGGTTAATTTTAGGGTTTACACAGATTGGTTTCATTAAAAAACATATGCCATATTACTAACAGCAGATATTGTTCCCATTATCTCCAAATTGAACATTTGCTTTGTCTCTGAGTTCCCTGTTAGGTATATAACCCCACTTGTAGCTGAGGAGTTCCTATAAGAATCTCCAAATTGGTGACATTGAAGAAATAAAACTGAGTGTACATAGGCAGAGGTGGCTTCTTCCAGGAGTCAAATATCTCAGTACCATTCCATTCTACCATATTCTAGGAGGAACAAACAAACAGACAAAAACAAAGGAGACTTAAAAATGTAAGACCCTTGGCTTTGAACATGATGCAGAAGGAGGGACCCTCCTAACTCTGGCCTCCTACCTCACTTGCTTTAATTATTTTAGAGATATTAACTTCAGTCTCTTGAGAGCAGTCTTCTCATTTGACCAATAGGGTCCACTACCCTATCAAGCCATAGGTCTTCAAAAATATTTGTGGCAAAGGAGGGATGCTGGAGACATAGCTCATGGGTGGGAACATGGTGTGGCTTTATTGACTCTGTTATTTTTAAAGATCCCTCTGTGGCTCTCTTGGCTGGGATAGATAGATTATCAGCCTTAGCTGGGTTCCCCAGACCTTTCCTAGTCTAGTTGCAATAGGAGAGATAACATGGACTTGAAGGAGTAGAAAAGCTGGTGAAAACCAGGCTTCTACTCAGTGTTACCTTAGTGTGGGATGAAAGGCACACATGGATTCTTGTGATTGTCCATGATTTGAATGATACCTGGCTGGAGATGTTTGCGATATTATGGAAGTGTGCTAATAAGCAGGACGTTTGGATCTTGAATGTCATACTTGGGGCTAAAGGCAAACATACAGAAGAGCTGGATCCTGAGATGAATGAATTAAGTGAGTACTTCATATAAGGGCTCATCTATATGTGCATCCAGACTTACGAATCTGAAAATTTAGTTTTGTTATTCTTAAAAAAGTACTTCTCCAAAGGTTAGCCACTTGTGAGCTCTTTGGCCAGTGAACCTACAAGTGTCCACTGATTACAGAAAGCCAAGGATGTTATACTTAAAATATCACTAACGGACTGGGGGTATGGATGAAGCAGTATAGTGCTATCCTTGCAAATGCAAAGCCCTGAGTTCAAACCCCAGTACCACCCAAAAAATACATTGTCACTTATAAATAGATAATGGTTGTTTAGGTGAATTGCATATTTCTGAGAATTTTTCTTTGTCTTTTAAAATACAGCTTAAAACTTTTATATTGCTTAATAGTAAACATTTCTCAACTGTTTTGGAATTGATGTTTATGTATTCCAGAATATTTATATAAAGAAATCTAAGCCTTTTGGGACACTTATTTACTTAAAGTTTCAAAACATTTAAGAAATGTTAATATATAACAAAAAGAAAGAAAATATAAAATATAAATAAGAAAGAAATATAAATTATATAAAAAAGAAAAACAGATGTGTAAGAAATGCAAGAATTAAAAAAAAGGAAAAGAAAAACGATTAAAATCTTAGAATTGTAGAAGAGGACTGGCAGAGTGGCTCAAGTGGTAGAGCCTAGCAATTGTGAGATTAAGTTCCAGCCCATGTACTGCCAAGAAATTGCAGAAGAAATGTTAGTGAAGTAGAAAAAATTCATCAAAGACCAGCATGAAAATCAATAAGAGCAAGGCAGACTAAGGACCCTAAAGAAAGCAGATAATTGAAATATAAAAGGTAGTGAGTGTCTGGGCAGATCAACAAGAATTACAGGCTGTGAGTGTCCAATTAGACATAATCATGTACAGAGAAACTTCAGAAGCTATGCTCCAGTTGTGTACTTTCAATATGAGTGGGTCAGGGTGATAGTTAAAACATATCACATAAATATACAAAGTGCTGCAGTGATGATATGGCAGAGGCTTCTGGCTGTCCTCTAATATGTATTTTTCCTTTCTGTGATAATGGAGCCTGTAATTTTTAGCCAGATTCATAGTTCCCTAGAAGATCTTTTCTAATCCCCCTTGCTGCTAGCTAGAGGCATATCACTAAGCTGTACCAGTGGATTTATGTAGAAGTGATGTGTGCAACTTCCAGAGTGTGCCTTTAAAGGGAAGAGGCTTGGGTACTGCTTCCCATTGGCTAGAATGTGGATGTGGTTGTTAACCATGTTGGATTACAAGGACAAATGCAATGTCTCAGGGATGGTGGATAGAAACTCGGTATCAGGTCCCTTTCATAACAATACCTCTGTACCATCTCTGGACTGCTTATACCCTATTGTTTTTGTCTTGTTTAAGCCATTATTGTTTTGATTCTGTGTTACAACAACCAATCCTGTATCCTAATATACAAGGGAAACATGTCAAGCAGAGAACCTGTACAAGAATACAGGTGATCAACAGGGTTGACAATATCAAGCATCAGTGAGTGCATGGACAACTGGAATCCTCAGATAATGCTGGTGGAGTTATATGTGTTTGAGAGAGAGAGAGAGAGACAGACAGACAGCAGAGAGAGACAGAGAGAGACGGGGGAGAGGGGACAGAAGAGGAGAGGAGAGGAGAGGAGGCACTGCATTTGTGAAGAAAGACACTGTATCGGAAATTCAGCCCTGACAGCTGATGGCACCAAGTGAAAGAGCTCAAATGAAAGCTACCCAGATAAGCCCAGTTAATCCACAGATTGGTATTATAAGGGACTATGTTTGGGGGGTAGTTTCTTACACAGCAATACAGATAACCCAAATGAGAATAAGGTAAAGAAACACTGTACAAACTATGTTTTGATTTCTCTAATTTAAAACAATAACTTTAGTAGCTGTGTTAAGGGATTTTTAAATAGAGTCATATTAATTGCTAGCTACCATTTCTTTGAATCTTTAACAGTTTCTTTCTTTCTTTCAAAATGATTTTTCAGAGACTGCAGGCAGAGTAGAATTGTAACAAAGGTTTTTCAGGTAGACTACGAACCACCAAAGATAGTCTCTTCAGAGGATGACATTGAAAATATTCTCAAAGGTTCTTCAAAGCAGGCAAGTAATGAAACCATAATATGTGCAGATTGTCACTGTGTTCTTGGTTCCTTCTTTTTCAGTAGGTACGTCTTCCCTTTCATTATATCACATCTGCTCACAGTTATACTCTTATAATTGAAGTCAGTTTCAATCATTACAAAGTATCTTCATTGATTTCTCAGTCTTGGGTGAAGCCTTCCTCTACCCCCTGAAGATTAGAATTCTTATCCAGTGTCACTGTGCAGTCTTCAGTGACTCTTCCTTACCCATAGAAGAAACCTTTAGCCTGCCATTTAAGTAATTAGTTTCCGTCATTTGTCAACCTTTGCTTTGTTTGACATCCCCTGCATAACTCCAACTAAACTACACTGTACTGTTTTTATCAATGCACTAGGCCTTCTTCTTTTAAAAATGCATATAATTACTTTGCTCCTTGTCAGCTTTTCCTGGGCACTGTAAGTGCCAACATGACAGAAGGCATAGCTGCAATACTCATAGGCTGCTCAGCGGTAGGTGGGAGAGGGTGATGAGTATATGCTTGGTGAATAGAATAATCAGGCAAGTAGAAGTCCCCAGTAGGTATAGACTTCGATTATATTGAAATCTTCATCCCCAAATATCTGAGAAACCTCGCCTCTTTGCTTTTTCCTTATTTTATTTTTTACTTTTTAAATTTTCATTTTATTGTTGCACTGAGGGTACATTGTGACATTTGCAAAAGTGCTTATAACTTATTTTAATTAAATTTGCCCCCTCCATCATTTTCCTTTATCCCCCTCCCTCTATTAGAATAGTTTCAATAGATCTCATTTTTCCATTTTCACAATGAGTACATGATATTTCCACCATATTCACCCTTTTATACCCTTTCCTTATATCCTCCCACCTCCCACTGGTACCAACCCCCAGACAGGACCTGTTTTACCTTCCTGTCCTGCGTTTTTGAAAAAAGACATTTTTGTTTAAGATACCATCACAGGGAGTTTCATTATGACATTTCTGTATATATGTATTGCATCCCACATTGGTTCATCCCCTCCACTTTTCTTCTTTCTACCCTAGTCCTCTAATTTAAGGTAATTTCAATAGGTTTAAAAATTCTATACTCATTCTTGTGTAGAAAGTACATCAAATTCACCTTCTTTCCTTCCTACTTTTACTGTCTTCCTCCCTTTAGTGCCCTCCACTTAGTGTGGCCTGTTTTTCATTCTTGTCCTTCATTGTTTAGGTGTCTGTTCATTGTTCAGTGGAATTTTTGCCTTGCTATATACCTGTACATGCATTATGCTTAACTCAATGTAACCTCCCCCTCCACTGTAATTCCTCACCCTTTTCCCCCATCTTGTGTGTTTAACAGTTTTCAGCTTGTTTCTTTGTGTCTTGTTCCTACACAGATTGATGTACTTCATTATTATTCACTATCTTTGTTTCCATCTTTTCCTCTTCCCTTGGTCTCCTATATCAGTCCCACTTTTGGATATATGCTCTGTGTATATTTCTATGTATATATGATATTGCTTGTATTTGTTTTGGGCCTATATTCCACATATGAGAGAAAACATGTGGCCTTTAGCTTTCTGAACCTGGCTAACTTCACTTAAGATGTTGTTCTCCAGTTCCATCCATTTACCTGCAAATGATGACATTTCATTCTTTTTTATGACTCAATAAAATTGCATTGTATATAAATACCATATTTTCTTAATCTATTCATCAGTGACCTTACCTCCTTGGAGAGTTCATTTTATCTATCCAAGAAGGCTATTTAAAATCAGTTCCTGCTTTGGATCCATCCATCAGTAAGGTAGAACCAACTAGCAGGGCCAAAGGATGGGTTAGACTATGAGAAGGCAACCAATAAAGAGGACTGAGTCATGAGGGTCTTGTTGGGAGTGACAGGAAATTTATGGAGGTGTCCCTTAAGTTCAGTGGTAGACCTGAGGCCAGAGAGGAGACTGTGGGACCAAATCTGTGGGCACAGGTGTAAGGTAGAACTCTAGTGTGATTGTGATGGACACAGAGACTGGCATATGTCAGCAGGTGCCCAAATATGAATTTAATGCAAAAAGCAAAGACCATGGAAAAGAAAGTCCAGAGAGAAGAATGTTTAAGGACTGTGTGGGTGGGTAAGTATATCTAAATTCTGTCTTGGTCTAACCCCACTCTGTCTTTGCCCCTGGATCTGATGATTCCCCTGATATTACTATCTCCTGTGATTGTGCTATATTCCCTACATGTGCTATAATCTGCCTCCAATCTTGGCCACTTTACATGGTAGGGACTACCACCTAGACAGGCTGCTGACCAAGCAGCCAAGGTACAAAGCTTCCAGAGTAAAGGGAAACAGAGGTCACTTTGTAGAAACTGCTGTAAGAAATGTACACCATGGCACTAACTCTATCATGTGACTTTTAATTTTCACATTCTAAATGGGCGTAAATCAAATGACTTGCAATCTCTCCACTCCTAGGAATTAAAAAATGGATTTGATGGGCCAAAACTAAAGAAGAAATATAAGAATGCTGACAATAAATCTAGTTGGAATGTTAACCTTAGGAAGTTTCCAGGTAAGATGTGATAGAACAAAGGTAAAATTTAATATTCTAAACTCACCAAACAGGCTCACTGTGTGTTCACTGCACATTTTCTTATGTGCAGGGTGTTGGAATAAGAGAACAAAAATGGGCTATAATTTGAGTTTTCATACTGTCCTAGCTAATAGGTTAAGACCATGAGAGATAATCACATAGTCCAATGAAGTTATATTTACTGATTGATTGCATTGAGGCAGCTCACATATCAGGGAGCCATGGTGTGCTTCACCAAACAAAGGAAAAAAAAACAATTAAAGGGTTGGAGGAAGAGTGGAGTTTGGGAAAAATTTAAATAAAATCAGAGTTTCAAAGCAAAGCTAGGACATGTGGGAAGGGGTCAACATCAGCTATGGACTGAGGTTTCTGTTACTTGGTAATTACAAAGGTACACATGAAATGTGTTCAGAGAACACCAGGATTGGAAATTAAGACTGCTTCTTTATAACAAAGTGACAGATCCTGCAGGCAAGAGTCGGGTTCTTACTAATGTGATTTCAGACAACAAGCTTCTTATAATCTGTGACTTTAGAGAACAAGCTTTCTAGTAATAAGCAATAGTCACTCAAAGAACAGGGTATTGACTGGGTGTGGTAGTTCATGCTTTTCATCCCAGCTATTTGGGTGGCAGAGATCAGAAGGATCGTGGTTTGAGGCCAGCCCTGGCAAAAAGTCAGTGAGACACCTTCTTAACAAATAAGCTGGGTGTGGTGGTTCATGTCTGTAATCTCAGATAAGCAGGAGGCATAGGCAGGATGAGTTCAGTCTGAGACCAGCCCAGGCAAAAAGTGCAAGACCCTATCTAAAAAATAACCTAAAACAAAAAAGGCTGAGGAGTGGCTCAAATGGTAGAGTGATTTCTGCCTAGCATGATCAAGGCTCTGAGTTCAAACCTCAGTACTGCCCTTCCCTATTCACCAAAAAGAAGAGAAGGGCATTATGAAATTTTTCATCTACAATATGTCTTGCTAACCTTGCCTTGGATTGATCTGTGTTTTTCTAGACTGACAGTGGAATGTTGTACAATGTAGCAGGGAAGATTATTTTCTCATTCTGGGTTTATTATTTCTTTCTTATTTCTAAGTCGCTGAAGTGGGGAGGATGGCTCTTTATGTAATTTTTACTTCTGGGGAAAGAATGTGATGGTAGTGCTCCCTTATTAGAAGGTTTCCAATGATGGAGACATATTTTCATGGTTTTATGTGATTACAGATGCTCACAGAACAATTTTTTAAATTACAATTATAGATCTCGAGGTAGGTGAAAGAATGGACCCCAAAACTCTGAAAGATCTTCGTTTCTTAGAGAGTCCACTGGAAATCCCAGCCTGCCGTGAAGGATCAGGTTCTAGACCATCCACCCACCTGTCCCAGGTAACCTAAGGAAAATCTTTAGGGTCCTAAAATACCTTCCATATTTTGAATGCTTCATTTGAAATACCTTAAGGCAGCATCTCACAGGATTTTGACCATGTGCCAGGCACTGTTCCAGAACTGGGTATACTATATTGGATAGGAAAAGTCTATAATCATAGAGATGACATTTTTTTTGCAGTGCTTGGGGCTTGAACTCAGGGCCTACATCTTGAGGCACTGTGCCAACCCTTTTTTGTGATGGGGTTTTTCAAGATAGGGTCTCATAGAACTATTTGCTTGGATTGGCTTTAAGCCGCAATCTTCCTGATCTCTGTTGTCTTGAGTAGATAGAATTATAGGCATAAGCCACTGGCACCTGGCTAGAGATGGCATTTTATTGGCATTTTGAGCAGTTAGATAATAATCAAGTGAATAATCACAGAAAAATTTGAAATGGTATTGTCATAAACAAGATAGACCGAGTGATGAGATAGAGTAGTGGTTCTCAATGTGGGAGCCCTATACTACAGCTTCATAATCACATTGGAACTTATTTGAAAAAGCACATTCTCAGGCCCACCAGACCTGAATCAGAGACTCTGGGCATTGGCCCAGTAATCTGCATTTTGCATGTCCCGTCTTCTGATATATACAGAGGTCTGGCAGCCCCCAATATAGGAATATTCTTGGAAGAAGAACTAGAGTCATTCTGAATTCGGGTGATAAGAGAGGTCTTCCCTGAAGAGGTGACATTTGAATTGAGACTTCAAGGGTTTCTCCATCCCTGCCAAGGTCTTATGAAAGGCACTAAGCAATAGTTATAATAAGGACAGCAAAATGAGAGATAGCAAGGAAGCTGGTGTGGAACACGAGCAAGGTTTAAGATGTGGTGGGATGGCTCACAGCACCTAGAACTGTATTTCTCAGCATGGCTATATGTTACAATTACCTGAGGCATTTCAAGTCAATCCCAGGGGCATAATCTCAGAAATTCAGACTTACTTGGTCTAAGGTCTGGTGTGGACATGGTTTGTTTTTTAAAATACAACCCCAGTGGTTCTCATGGACAGACATGGCTGATAATCACAGATGTTAATTCCATTGTAAGGAGTTTAGATTTTATTCTAATTGTAAAATGAATCCATTTGGATTCCATATTTAAATAAATGAAATGATAGGAATCTATAATTCTACTTTCATTCAAAAGTTTTCTTTTTGGTTGTAGTATGGGAATTAGACTGTAGGACATTAAAGGTGAACAACATTTTGGAGGTGTTTTCTCAGGCAAGAGATGATGATAACTAGGCCAACTTTGTAAAGGTGGTGAGGATAGAAGTCAGAGGGAGTCCAGACAGGTTTGGCTCCTGATAAATGAGATGAGAAAAAAAGAAGGAGCTAAGGATGACTTTTAGGGTTTTGGCCTAAGCATATGGAGATGATGGTATCATTATCTGAAATGGGGACTAGGAGAGAACAGCATGTGTTCAAGGGCTTATCAGACATCTAAATGGGGATGTTAAATAGTCTGTTGACTGTGCAAGTTCAGATTTAGCTGAGCGGTCAGGGTTGGAGTATATATTTGGAAATATTCAATATAGAGGTGGTATTTAATGCGTGGATTTGAATGAGCTCTCGTGAAAAGTGTACAGAAAATGAAGAGAAGGTGGTATAAGGCAAAGTGTTCAATTTAGAGGCTGAGTAGAAGAAGAACCTGAGAGGTAGGAAGAAAGCCAAAAGAATATAGTGTCATGAAAGCTAAGAGAAGGAAGAGTTTCAAAGAGAAGGCAGTGATTATCTATGTCATATGCTATTGAGGATTTAAACTAGACAAGGATAGAAAATTGCCCATCGATTTGACAAGATGGATGTGACTTATGACCCTAATAAAAACACTTTTACTACTGAAACACAAGAAAGATGAATTTATAATAATTGTATACTGTTATAGGGCTTTGATTTTTCAGTGTTTATAAAATCCAGCACAGGAGAGCCCTTGCTCCTTCCTCATATTTGAGTTTCAAGAAGAAGGTACCAGGAGTTACATTTTCTTTTTTTATGTTTTTGATGATGCTAGGATTTGAACTCAGGGCTTCATGCTTGCTAAGCAGGTACTCTACACCTTTGAGACACACCCCAACCCTTTTTTGCTTTAGTTATTTTTCAGTTACCTATCAGAATCACCCAGAGGGTGGTTTCTAGCTATCCCCTTCTCTAGTTCTCCTAGATAATCTGAGTCCATAAGTCTGGGATGAAGTCCTCAGACAACTTTTATGATCATCCCAATCTGAGCATCTTGGCTGAGACAAGTTATCCTAATCCTGAGTCTAAGCAATTACCTTCATAACTAGTCTTTAATGCTAAAGTTTAACCCAGTCTGACCTCCTGCATTCTACCATCTGCCCACTCACTGTATTTTTTGGAGAACCACAAAGGCCAGGCCAGAGATCCATAGACCTGATAAGGTCCACTTGCAAACCCCCCTAAACAAAAGGGCAACCATCTATCTACAGTGGAAAATTGCCCTTCCTAATCTGTTACCTGGTTACCAGAGGGACCAACAAGCAACTCATCTCCTGTGGACTGTGTGCAGTAGTGTGACCCAAATAAGAATACTGCTTTTGAAATAAAAAATCTCATTTTGATGAATGAATGTCATAGGACAAAACATAGTATCTAATTTTGAAAAATCTCATGTGGCTGCAATTATTTAAAATGTGTCAAAAAGTTATTTTCCTTGTACATGAATATTTGGATTAATGCCCACTTAATTGTTAGAGTTATTTTCAAGAGGAAAATGAAATAAATAATATATAAGGATTAGGATTCCTAGAAACTTGGGACATAGAAACAAAGACAAAAGTTTGGGGAACTTAATTAGCATCCAGAAATCCAGGGAAATCAGAAAAGTCTCCCACTCTTGTTTTTCATATTGCTAAAAGATTCTTCCCAACATTTCAGCTCCATCCATCTGAGGCATCCTTCAGAAAATATCAGAATTAATGAAACATGTCACTAACCCCAGGGAGACAAGATGTTTCTGAGCTAAGCACTTGTCTTGGGGTTACTTTGGGGCCAAGCAGCAGGGTAGAGATAAATGGCAGATGACATCTGGCTTTTGTGAGATCACAAGGGTGTGGGTTCTGTGATGAGATGGAATGCTCCAGCCAGCTAAGGGGTCACTCTACTTAGCTCAAGATAACCTACTGACAAGGACTGCAGGTTCAGTGTTTCCACATCCAGTGAATTTGCACAAGAAGGCAGAGACCTACATCATTTTGTGTAATAACCTAATTTAAAATCATGACAATGAATTCAAATTTTGAAAATACCGTGGGGGCTGATATATGTGATATTCGGTCCAAATGAAACTCAGTGACACAACATATTTGGCCAACAGACAGTTTGTGACTTCTGGCATAGGCCATGTTAGATGTAACACAAAAGCAATTTAAAAACTCCTCTACGGTTTGTGGAGTGGCTCAAGTGGTCGAGTGCTTGCCTAGCAAGCATGAGGCCCTGAGTTCAAACCCTAGTACTGCAAAAAAGAAGTGGAAGAAGAAGAAAGAAGAAAGGAAGAAGGAAGAAGAAGACGAAAGAAGAAAGGAATAAGGAAGAAGAAAGAGAAAGAAGAAGGAGGAGGAGGAGGAGGAGCCTTTAAAACTCTCTGGTCCCCAGTATCTTCATAATTAAGTTGAAATGCTAAGTTTAGCACACAGGTATGGTGGTAGACAAGGAGTTTACAGGAGATAAGTATGCCTGAGTGTAGTACCCATACTGTTAACATGAGCTCAAGCAAGTGATTCAACCTTTCTGAGCCTCAGCATCCCCATTTCAAAAATGGGTATCATATGTGTCTATGGCTATGGTACACTGAGATGGACACAATGTCCTTTCTCTGGAATTTGTGACAAAATGCACAACTGGATCCAATTACAAGGAAACCAAATTAAAGACTATCCTATGTGTTAACTAGGCTTGTTACTCAAAAAAATGTCAAGATCATGAAAGACGAAGAAAGACTGAGGAACTAATACAAATTAGAGGCTACAAAAGAGACATGACAACTAAATGTAAAGTGTGGTACTAGACTAGATCCTAGACCAGGAAAAAATAAACAGCTAAAAGAACACCATTGGCACAACTGATGAAGTCTAAGTTCAGATCTGTGGATTAGATCATAATATTGTGTCACTGTTAACTTTTCTGACTTTGATACACAGTTTTGGAAGAGCAGCCTTGTTCTTGGGAAATGCACACTATGCATTAAGGGGCAAAGGAGCATCATGACTATAGCTTATTATTATTATTTTTTTCATTTTTCTTTTATTATTTATATGTGCATACAAGGCTTGGTTCATTTTTCCCCCTGTAGCTTATTATTATGGTTCAGAGTGAAAGTACATATTAAAAAATGTTAACATAAATAATCAGTCATACCACATAGACAGGCATTGTTTGTATTATCCTTGTAACTTTTCTGTAACTTTGAAGTTACTTCAAAAGATGTTACATGCTGAGTTTGGTGGTCTGTGTCTGTAATCCTAGTACTTGGGAGGCTAAGACAGAGGATCTCAAGCTTAGGCTACATAGCAAGACTCTGTCTAAAAAAATGAAATAAACAAGGTGTTAAACAAATACAACGAAATGGGGATAATATAACCCCTCTCATAGTGTTATTTTGAGTGTCAAAGAGATAATGGCTACAATATGCCACAGTGCCTGTTATGAAATGGATGCTCAACTACAAAAATTCATTCAGGTGAGTTAAATATTTCTGGATAATAGCAGATGGTTGCTGCACATGTTCTTATGGCTGAGTCCTTTTGAGTTTCCTAGAAATAGAATGCTTGAGAAAATGGATACTAACTTTAGGCTTTTCCGTTCATTAAACCTGATCTATCTGAAGACAAATTCAGTTATCTTTTTTAATAAACTTTCATTTTTAATGAAATTTATATATCTGATTATGAATAGCAATAACTAATTTTAATGTTAGATTTTGGAGTAATAATTACTTAGAACTCTCCCTATCATAGTTTCAAAAAGATGAATGCTGTATATTTTGCAATAAATATTAAAATGGAATTTTGCTACCCCATAGCCTTCACCAAGTTATATTAACTATATATCTATACCTATGTCTACCTGTATTCTTAATTTTAGTCCCCTGGTTTTGCACATGTTACTGGTCAAAAGAGTCTGACAAGCACAGAGATCATGAGGATTCAAAGGCAGACAGACTTTCTCAAGTATGTATCACTTTTTCTTACTCAGTTTAAAAATGGAATGTAACAATGGTTTTACCTACCCTTATCCTTTTAAATGAAAATTTTAGAGCTTTATAAAAGGTATAATTGACACATAATAAATGACATATATTAAAATTTTTGATTTAAAGATTTGATTGACACACATATATACATAATTGCATATCTGTGTATATATATATGAAACTATCACCACAATCAAGAAAATGAACAAATTCATCCCCTCCAAAAGTTTCCTCTTGCCTATCCTGAGGCAACTGTTAATTTGCTTATTATCACTGTAGCTTAGTTTGCATTTAATTTGATGTATGAATTGAATAATTTAGTATGAAGTCTTTTTTATTTGCCAGGCTTTTTTGGCTTAGAATAATTATTTTAGGATTCGCCAATATTGCTGCTTGTATTGAACATCTATTTTTTTATTGCCAAGTAGTTTTGTTTCTTGCTGGGTTTCCACTGTGTAAATACACCACAGTTGCTTATCCATCCTCTTGTGAAGGCATGTGTGGTATTTGCAGGTTTCAGCTATTACAGGTAAAGCAGATATGAAGATATGTACACAAGTACATAGGCTTTCATGTATTGAGATAAATACCTTGAAAGGAAATGACTGGGTCATATGATAGGTATATGTTTTCCAAAGTAGTTGAACCATTCTTACATTCTAATCACCAGTGTTGGAGAATTCCAGTTTTTCTACATCTTTACCAGCATTTTGATTTTTATTTTTGGTCATTCTAGTGAGATTGTAGTGATATCTCATTGTGGTTTTCATTTACATTTCCCTAGTGACTAATGATGTTGAACATCTTTTTATGTGCTCTTTGCTATCCACACATCTTTTTTGGTAAAGTGTCTGATCCAAATTTTTACCCTTAAAATTGTATTATGTGTCATTTTATTATAGAGTTGTCCACATTCTCCTTTGTCAGATATATATTTTAAATATATTTTCTTCCAGTCTTTGGCTTTGCATTTTGATGATATCCAACTTATTTTTCTTTTATAATTTTTTAGTTTGTCATGTTTATGAAATCTTTTCCAAACCCAGGACGTATGATTTTTTTCCTATTTTTTTCTAGAAGTTTTATAATTTTATCTCTTATGCTTAGGTCTTTGATGTACTTATACTTAATTTTTACAAATAGTTGGTCATTCTAGTGAGAAAAAGTAGTTCACATTTTGTATATGGATATCCAGTTATTCTAGCACATTTTCTTGAAAAGATTATCTTTCTTCATTTATTAGCTATGGATTATTTGAAAGTCATTCAACAGTATTTGTGTGAGTTTAATTCTGGACTCTGTTCTGTTCCATTTGATGGGTTTTTTTTGGTGTTTTGGTGGTACTGGGGTTTGAACTCAGATCTTCACGCTTGCAGGCAGGTGCTCTACCACTTGAGTCACTCCGTCAGCCCTGATGTTTCTTTATATTTATTTACTATCATGCTGCCTTGGTTACTGTAGCTTTATATTATTTTTCAACTTTATTCTTATCAAAGATGTTTGAGCTATTCTAGGTCCAAACGTTTTCAAATAAATTTTAAAACCAGCCTAAAAACTTTTACAAAGTAGCCAGGTGTGATGGTACATGTCTGTAATCCCAGCACGTTGGACGCTAACGCAGAAGGATTGGTAGTTTGAGGCCAACCTTGGCTACATACTGAGCCCCTGTCTCTGAAAAACAAAACAAAATAAATTTGATAAAAAGTCTGCTGGGACTTTGATTAGGGTTACATTGAATCTATATATCAACTTAAAGAGTACTGAAATAAATTAAATCTTTATTGAGTTCAAACCCTAATGCTTCCCTTCAAAAAAGATGCTGAATATTTTTTTTTTTTGGTGGTAGTGGGGATTGAACTCAAGGTCTTGTACTTGCTAGGCAAGCACTCTATCACTTGAGCCACATTGCAAGCCCTCTTTTTGGTTTAGTTATTTATTGAAGGGTCTCATCTTTTTCCCAGGTCAGCCTGGGCCATGATCCTCCTATTTGTGCTTTCTGGTATAGCTGAGATGATAAGCATATGTTCAGCCATTGGTTGAGATGAGGTCTTGCTAACGTTTTTGCCTGGGTTTAACTTTGAGCCATGACCCCCTTGATCTCCACCTTTCAAGTAGCTAGAATTACAGGTGTGAGCCATTGTCCCCAGCAGAATGTTGAGTACAACTCATAAAAATGATATATCTCACATTTATTTAAGTGGTCTTTGATTTCTTTAATCAATATTGTGTAGTTTTCAGTGTACAAGGTTAGCAGTCTTTTGTCCAATTTATCCTATTATAGATGGTATTGCTTTAAAAATTTCAGTTTCTCATGAAAAGGCAAATACAGGACTCCACTTATATGAAGTGTCTAAAACAATTAAATTCACAGAAACAGAAAGTAGAATGGCAGCTGGGAGGGACTGTGATGGGGATCAGAGAGTTGTTTGGTTGGTATAGAATTTCAGTCATACAAGATGAATAATTCTAAAGCTCTTTGTAAATAATGTACATGCTGTTAATAGGACTGCAATACACAATGAAGAACTATTAAGAGGATATATTTATATTATATACATGATTTTTCCATAATAACAATCCAATTTCTGGTTATTACTGGAACATGAAATATAATTGCTTTTGTGTAGTTGTCTAGTATCCTACAACCTTAAAAATCCACTTATCTATTAGGTTTTTTTATTGTTTTATTATTCATTAGTGCATACAAGGCTTGGGTCATTTCTCCACCTTGCCCCCACCCCCTCCCTTACCACCCACTCCACCCCCTCCTTCTCCCCCCCACCCCCTCAATACCCAGGAGAAACTATTTTGCCCTTATCTCTAATTTTGTTGAAGAGAGAATATAAGCGATAATAGGAAGGAACAAGTGTTTTTGCTGGTTGAGATAAGGATAGCTATACAGGGAGTTTTCTGTGCGTGTGTGTTACCTTCTAGGTTAATTCTTTTTGATCTAACCTTTTCTCTAGTTGCTGGTCCCCTTTTCCTTTTGGCCTCAGTTGCTTTTAAGGTATCTGTTTTAGTTTCTCTGCTTAAGGGCAACAAATGCTAGCTAATTTTTTAGGTGTCTTACCTATCCTCACCCCTCCCTTGTGTGCTAAAGCTTTTATCATGTGCTCAAAGTCCAATCCCCTTGTTGTGTTTGCCCTTGATCTAATGTCTGCATATGAGGGAGAACATATGATTTTTGGTCTTTTGGGCCAGGCTAACCTCACTCAGAATGATGTTCTCCAATTCCATCCATTTACCAGCGAATGATAACATTTCGTTCTTCTTCATGGCTGCATAAAATTCCATTGTGTATAGATACCACATTTTCTTAATCCATTCGTCAGTGCTGGGGCATCTTGGCTGTTTCCATAACTTGGCTATTGTGAATAGTGCCGCAATAAACATGGGTGTGCAGGTGCCTCTGGAGTAACTTGTGTCACAGTCTTTTGGGTATATCCCCAAGAGTGGTATTGCTGGATCAAATGGTAGATCAATGTTTAGCTTTTTAAGTAGCCTCCAAATTTTTTTCCAGAGTGGTTGTACTAGTTTACATTCCCACCAACAGTGTAAGAGGGTTCCTTTTTCCCCGCATTCTCGCCAACACCTGTTGTTGGTGGTGTTGCTAATGATGGCTATTCTAACAGGGGTGAGGTGGAATCTTAGTGTGGTTTTAATTTGCATTTCCTTTATTGCTAGGGATGGTGAGCATTTTTTCATGTGTTTTTTGGCCATTTGAATTTCTTCTTTTGAGAAAGTTCTGTTTAGTTCACTTGCCCATTTCTTTATTGGTTCATTAGTTTTGGAGAATTTAGTTTTTTAAGTTCCCTATATCTGGTCCTTTGTCTGATGTGTAGCTGGCAAATATTTTCTCCCACTCTGTGGGTGTTCTCTTCAGTTTAGAGACCATTTCTTTTGATGAACAGAAGCTTTTTAGTTTTATGAGGTCCCATTTATCTATGCTATCTCTTAGTTGCTGTGCTGCTGGGGTTTCGTTGAGAAAGTTCTTACCTATACCTACTAACTCCAGAGTATTTCCTACTCTTTCCTGTATCAACTTTAGAGTTTGTGGTCTGATATTAAGATCCTTGATCCATTTTGAGTTAATTTGGTATAGGGTGATATACATGGATCTAGTTTCAGTTTTTTGCAGACTGCTAACCAGTTTTCCCAGCAGTTTTTGTTGAAGAGGCTGCTATTTCTCCATCGTATATTTTTAGCTCCTTTGTCAAAGACAAGTTGGTTATAGTTGTGTGGCTTCATATCTGGGTCCTCTATTCTGTTCCACTGGTCTTCATGTCTGTTTTTGTGCCAGTACCATGCTGTTTTTATTGTTATTGCTTTGTAATATAGTTTGAAGTCAGGTATTGTGATACCTCCTGCATTGTTCTTTTGACTGAGTATTGCCTTGGCTATTCGTGGCCTCTTGTGTTTCCATATAAATTTCACGGTAGATTTTTCGATCTCTTTAATGAATGTCATTGGAATTTTGATGGGAATTGCATTAAACATGTAGATTACTTTAGGGAGTATCGACATTTTTACTATGTTGATTCTACCAATCCATGAGCATGGGAGATCTCTCCACTTTCTATAGTCTTCCTCAATCTCTTTCTTCAGAAATGTATAGTTTTCCTTGTAGAGGTCATTCACATCTTTTGTTAGGTTTACACCTAGGTATTTGATTTTTTTGAGGCTATTGTAAATGGAATTGTTTTCATACACTCTTTTTCAGTTTGCTCATTGTTAGTGTATAGAAATGCTAATGATTTTTTTATGTTGATTTTATATCCTGCTACCTTGCTGTAGCTATTGATGATGTCTAGAAGCTTCTGAGTAGAGTTTTTGGGTCTTTAAGGTATAGGATCATGTCATCTGCAAATAGGGATATTTTGACAGTTTCTTTACTTATTTGTATTCCTTTTATTCCTTCTTCTTGCCTAATTGCTCTGGCTAGGAATTCCAGTACTATGTTGAATAGGAGTGGAGATAGTGGGCATCCTTGTCTGGTTCCTGATTTTAGAGGGAATGGTTTCAGTTTTTCTCCGTTAACTATAATGCTGGCTGTAGGTTTGTCATATATAGCTTTTATAATGTTGAGATACTTTCCTTCTATTCCTAGTTTTCTTAGAGCTTTTATCATGAAATGGTGTTGGATCTTATCAAAGACTTTTTCTGCATCTATTGAGATGATCAAGTGGTTTTTGTCTTTGCTTCTGTTAATGTAGTTTATTACATTTTTTGATTTTCTATTAGTTTTTTTAATAGATTTCATGAGATTATCTATACAGGTGATCAGGTTACCTGTAAGTATATATCCATATTCCTTTCAATATGGATCCATTTGCTCTTTTTGTTGACCTGTTGTCCTAGCTAGAACTTGTAGAATAACTTTGAATAGAAATGGCAAAAGGAGATAACCTTTTAAAATTTTTTTTGGTTGTACTAGGGTTTGAACTGTGGGTCTTCCACTTGCTAGGCAAGCATTCTACCACTTGAGCCACACCCTGGCATCTTGTTCTTGATCCTAGGGGGAAATCATTTGTTTTCAACATTAAATATTATGTTAGCTATACGTTTCTTCTTTCAATGACCTTTATCATTTGAGGATTTTCTCTCCTAATCCTAGTTTTCTTTTTTAAAAATAAGGAATAGATAGCTGGGTGTGGTGGCACACGCCTCAGCCCAGCCCTCAGGAGGTTTAGGCAGGAGGATTTTGAGTTCTAGGTCAGCCCTGGGCTACATGTGAGACCCTGTCTCAAAAAAAAAAAAATAAAAACAACAACAAAAAGGAGTAGGTGATACATTATTGTCCAAAGCATCTTCTCCATCTATTATTGGAAGGATAATATGGTTTTTCTTTTTCTGTTCATGTGGTGAATTATAATAATTGATTTTCAAAAAAATAAATGAATTAAAAATAATAATAATAATTGATTTCAAATGTAAAATTAACTTCACATTCCTGAAAATCCACCTGAAGCATTGTCTCTTTTACATATTGCTGAATTGGATAGTCTTAAAGATTTTAAAATTTTCTTTGCATGTGCATAGAGTATTTTAATTTCTTGTTAATGTTTGTCTGGTTTTAGTATCAGGATAATTTTGTCTTCATAGAATGAGTTGGGCAATATTCTCTCTCCTTTAATATTAGAAAGAATTTGTGTGTAATTGGTTTTATTTCATGCATGTCTGGTAGAATTCACCAGTGAACACACTGGAGTTTGGAGTCTTAGGAAGATTTTTAACTACACATGAAATTTCTTTAATAGATGTAACTTTGTTCATATTTATCTCCTTTTTTGTTGATTTTGAACTTCTTTTGCCCTTTTTTTAGCTTCTTGAATATGGAAGATGTAGTCACTGACTTGAAGCCTTCCTCCTTTTAATATCAATGTTTAGAATTACACATTCTAAGTACTGCTTTATTGGTTGATTCCAAATTTTTATATATTGTTTTCATTTTCATTCAGTTCAAATAGTTTGTAATTACCCTTATTATTTATTTTTTTACTAGTAGGAAAAATTTTCCTTTTTATTAGTTGGAAGTCTTTTGTTCAATTTCCAAATGTTGAAAAAATTTTCCTTATGATTTCTGGTATCTGCTTCAAATAAAATTTCATTTTGGACAGAGGATATATATGATTTTATTGGTAAATGTTATATGTGCACTTTAAAAGAATGTGAATTCTGTTGAGGTAAGTATACTATAAATGTCAAGTAGATTAAGTTGCCTGGTACTATTATTTAAGTCTCTATTTTTATTAGTTTTCTGTTTATTGTGTAGTCAATTATTGAAGTTTATCACAATTGTTATGAATTTACATATTTGTACTTGCGTTTCCATTTCTATCATTTTTTCTTCATGTACTTTGAGGCTCTAATATTAAGTATATAATATGAATTTTTATGTCTTATTGTTGAATTTAACCCTATGTCATTATGAAATAGCCTACTTTAACCCTGGTAATATCCTTTCCTCAGAAATCTAGTTGTTCTAATTAAATAACCACTCCTTTCCTTATGGTACACACACATGCTCCCACATATGCATGCATTTACACATACACACACATTCCATTCCTCTTAATTTTGTCCCTATAAAGTTGGTTTCTTTTAAGCAGAATATAATTAGTTCTTGCTTTTTAAAAGATTATATCTGACAACTTCTGCATTTTAATAGAGGTATTTAAGGTATGTGTGTATTCTAACTGGTGGCATTATGTATGAATTTTTTCCACTTTGGCTAAACTTCCCAGAACTCTGTGATCCCTGAGGATTGTTTCCTCAGATTCTGTTTAGTGTTTATTTCCTGGTCTTGAGAAGTTTCTTCCATTATTGCAGTAGTACCTTTTGACCCTCTTCCATGTTCTGAAGCTTTCTCTGTAGCTCCTCTCTGGTATTCTTTATTAAAAATTATAATTGCTTGGGCCTTGCTAGATTCCCAGCTCCAAGCCCTTAATCCAGATAAGAGCAATGAGATATTCACGTACTTTTATGGACTGTTGAGAAATACTTTCGCGAGCTTTGGGGATAAATAGAAGGAAACTTGTTGCCCTGGTGGTAGACTCAGTTCAGGAAATATGGTAAAACGTTGGTGACATGGCCCTATGAGAAAGGACTGAATAGGATAAAGAGTGTGAGAATGAACTCAACTCTAATGACTGGTAATTGTTAGAAGGCCATGGTAGAGATTGGTGCAGGCAACCTCAGAATCCAGTGTCGAGTATCCTAGCATCATAGTTGCTGAGGAGCAGTACAGATTGGTAGATCACAGAATGAGGGGACCAATCTGCCTGGGAGGGCATAGCAACAGCAGTGTATTCCAGGGTACTCTAATTCCAAGAACCATTTACTTTGGCTGAGAACCAGACCTACTTAGAAAGGTGGTGGGGGCTAGATGAAAATGAAGTTAGATGTTACTAAGCCAGGGAGTTAGGACTCTAACCAGGTGTGTGAAGAGAAAGGCAGGTTTGACTCATAGTGACTTTCTAGAGTGCCAACAATAAGACCTGCCCCTTGGCCTGGTCTCCATAGTTAGGCAGAAAGTGAGAAATGTGCATCACAAATGTGACTGGAATTCCCAGGGCTAAATCACACAGGCTAAAGCTAATGTAATAGGGCAAGCCAGAGTCCCACTAAGCATTGGGATCAAGGCTGCTGATAAACTTCCTGTCACTGTCAGGAAGTGAGATGGGCCTGCCCTACAGGTAACAGGCACCAGAAGTTCCACTTATGAGACCACTTTTTAGTAAAATTACCTGGACAAGCATTTCCTGCCTTGAATTTTTTCCATAGCTGCTGAGAGTGATCTGCTGTGTGTGTGTGTGTGTGTGTGTGTGTGTGTGTGTGTGTGTATTTTAACTGAACACTTAGATTTTCACCAGCCTTCTTAATGTAGACCCACATGGCCAAATGGAAACCTGTTTTGTTGTAGGTGTACCCACTGTCTGGCCCCCTACCCGTCTGATCCCTATGCTCGCTTCTGTCAAGAATGTGGTGCTTCTATCCCACCCATTTTTGGCTGTCGACTTCCACCCCCAGAAGGAGCTCAGGTGAGCTGCAGAATTCTTAAAAACATCTTTCGTTGGTTTATAAGATCTTTATTTATAGTAACAACATAGTTCTTGGTACTCGTGAATTATAAACATAAATACTTGTTTAAAGAATAATGAGCAGATTAATCTCTAACTATTCAGATTCCATTTTAAGAGTGAAAAAATTTGTTTACAATGTCATTTATTTTGTGTGACCTTGCCAAAACACAGACTCAGAAAAAGATTGACATATTATTGTTTTAATTAAGCATGCATAGATAAATAAATGATTCATACCTGATATCTCTACTTATAACCTGGGTACAATAAGGAAATATATTGTAGAAATAATGGTAAAAAAATACTAATTACTCTGTATCTGTATATCTATACAATGAGTGCATCATTTTGTCTAAGAAAATTATAGCTTGATCAGCATATTTTAATTTAAAGGCTTAGACTGATTGAATGTAGGTAATAATTGATATTATCCTATCACTAATTTTGTAGTTACTTAGAAGAGATACTTAGCTTTCCAATAATCAAAACTGTCACAAAAATGTGTTAATATTTTAAACACTTGATATTCTGGTGTTTTTTTTTTTAAGTGAGCATCACAAAATGAAATAAAGAGATTTGTGATGTTGAGTGAAAAAATGATTATCTTTAAAAAGATAGTTACTAAATATGACCTAAATTCTCAGAGTCCAGAGTTTTAGAATTGCATTATGCTCTCAAGGAATCATGTACTAAATGAATATCTTTTAAAATCTGTCTCCAGTTTGTTGTTCAAGATTGTTGCAAAAGTTCACTTAACCTACTTGTATGATAATAGGCTGTAATGTATAATCAACTTTGTAAGTTAAACTAATGACCATTTATTGAGTGTCTATTATGTCCTTCTTTCAGCTGGGCTTCTGGAACTCAAAGGGGGAACTCAGTAAGTCTCTGTGGAGACATGCAGAGGCATACCACTCTGCTCTGACTCTGTCCTCATTGCCCTGCCTCATGGTACTGGAACTGCCCTCCTTTAGGCTGAGTGTTATTTTTTGTCAGTAGAGGGGCACTGCAGGAGAGTGGGCTTGCCTTCCCTTGCTGGTTCTGGAATACTTTCTCTTTTTCCTCCTGTGGTGCTTAGCTAACTGGCAAGACACCCAGCTGTGCTGAATCCTGTGAATTTTTGTGACACCCCATAGACAGCTTCCCAGAGAGTCCCTCAGGCATCCTGGAGAGCAGCTTCCCAGTGCATTTCAGCAGCACCCAGTACATGGCCAGCATCCCAGAGGGAGGGTTCCTCATGAGTTTCACTGGACTAGTGGGTAGCTTTTTGCTTTCCAGTTCTGGTCAGTGTTACTTTAGTGAACTCTCTGACATCCAATGAACAACAGCCACACCAAGTTCATTGAAGTCTGATTTCACCTTTGGAGATGGTGAAAAGTAAGTATCTCTTCCACATTTGATCCTCCTTGGGGTCGACGACTCAGACTTATAGGTAGTGGCTTATCTCTGTATTTGGAGTGCCTGTATTATGTAGAGTCTTCTCTACCCACTAGTAGTTAACCTCCAGTTGCCAGTTGATAATTACTTATATTAAAGTTTCCTACTCAAATTACTGTATGGTTTCTGTCTGCTGACTAGATTCTGACTGATATAGAATTGGTACTGGGACTAGTCCCAGGAAACAAACCTGGTAATAATGAATTTTGGAAGTGTTTTGGCTTTGCTCTTTGCTTGAGAACAGGGCTATGCTCCTTGCCAATGAGAAATGTGATAATTTCACATTATTGATAATCAATAGCATGAAATGACATCATAGTTGATCAAGCTGTCCCTGGTGGCTTGTGATGAAGTGTCAACTGAAGCAAGAGTACTGAGTGACCAAGCAGCTGTTTGTTGCCCTTAACTGCTGTGCAGTGATGATGACTGCAAGGACTGTAGTGGGAATACATCTCCTGAGTTCATGAGAGCATTCACAGAAAGAAAATGATAAGCTTATGATCTTTTAAGTCAGAGTCTGGAAAGCAGAGAGCTCCCACAACATCCCGTTATTTTCTCCCTAAAAGAAATCTATTTCTTGTAGCTGCAGGGTTATAGTGATGCAAATTAAACAAAAAAATTAATTGTGTATGCTGGTGAGTTACATCATGAGAATTCACCTGATCACTAAATTTTTATATGGAAGTTAGGGCATGAATTGGGAGAGAACAGAATCTTGAAACTTGGATGGTAGGTTGGACCCAGATGAAAATGACAATCTTGAGCCCTAGGCACTTCGAGACTCCTTGCCATTGAAAGTAGCTTGCGTTCCTGTCTGAGGACACTAACCCCTTCTCCCTTTTTTTTTGCTTGAAATCTTTATGATAACCTCACCTAGGGCAGATGCTCTGAAAGGGGATGATTATTCTCCCCAAGACCAATCTCATCACCTGTAGCATTACTAGGGTCCTCTCTGAGCATGCTGTAGGACAGGTGTACATTTATGACTGAGGAGGATATACCTTGCACACAAAAAGAAGAGCAAGGGCTGGAGGAGTGACTCAAGTGGTAGAACACCTGCCTAGCAAGTGCCAGGCCCTGAGTTCAAACCCCAGTACCAAAAAAATTAAACTAAATTAAATTTTAAAAAGCAAAAAAGATTGAGGGGTGACTCAAGTGGCAGAGCAAGTACAAGGCCCTGAATTCAAACCCAAATTAAAAAAAATAAGAAAAGCAAGATTTGGCTAATATATCTGGCTGAATAGATGAGAGAAATTTTAGGTGAAGACAGAATATAACACTGAAATTGAAAAAATTCATTGATATATGTGCATCTTCCAGAGATTCTGAATTTGGAGTCAGACGCGCTACCGTTGCGCCACGAGGCCCGCCGTCAGAGATTCTGAATTTGATGTGTTAACTAACGTACCTGGAGTGGCTCTAACACTTTGATTGGCTGGCTAACTAAAACTTGGACTCAGTAGTGGCCTATGTTTAATGAGATTGACAGCCAGAACATTCTGTGGTATATTAGTATGCTAACTTTGAGATAATAAAATCCCATAGGCTGTTTAAACAATAAAATTTATTTTTTTATGGTTCTAAGTCTAGAAGCACAAGATCGAGGTGCCCTCTCTCCTTGGTCTTCAGGTGGGCATCTTCCCACTGTGTCTGTGCATTTGGGAAAAGGAAATGGCCAAACCATGGGGGGATTGCTAGATACTGGCTCTAAATTCATACTAGTTCTTAGAGATCCAAAACATTGCTATGGTGCACCAGCTAAAGTTGAGACTTTAGATACTAGGGTAAAATGATGGAACTTTACCTCAAGTTTGATGTAGAGGTTTTGCTTCATGTAATTGGAGGGGGGTTGCTATTATATTCAAGCTTTAGTCTGAATGTTTGTGTCCTCTCTCAAAGATAGTATTAGATGGTGGGGTCTTTGGGAGATAATGAGATCAAGTGGTAGACCCCTTATGAATGAGGTCAGAGCTCTTACAAAAGATGCCCATGTTTGCCTGACCATCTTGTGAGGACACAGCTAAAAGGTGCCACTGTGGGACAGAGAGCAGCTGTCACTTAACAACAAGATTGCTGACACCCTCCAAAACTGTGAGAAGTAAGTTTCTGTTGTTTAGAAGGCACCCAGGCTATTGAATTTTGTTATAGCAACCTGAATAACTAAAAAGTTTATATAAACTTGTAATTGCTTTATCTTCCTGACTTACTGACCCTTTATCATTACAAAATCTCTCTTTGTCATTAAAGTATTTCTTTTTTTTTTGTCAGTACTGGGGTTTAAAATCAGCCTCATACTTGCTAGGTAGGCACTACCACCTGAGCTATACCACCTGACCCCTGTGTGTGTGTGTGTGTGTTTGTGTGTGTGTGTGTGTGTGTGTGTGTGTGTTTAGCAGTATTGGGGCTTAAACTCAGGGCCTCACGTTTGCTAGCCAGGTGCTCTACCACTTGAGTCACTCCATTAGCCCTGTGTTGGTTATTTTTGAGATAGGATCCAGCTTTATGCATGGGCCTGCCTGGACTGTGATCTTCCTATTTCCTGCCTTCTGGGATGACATGTGCACACCAAAATGCCCAGATTTTTATGGGGTCCAGTGAACTTTTGCCCTGACTGGCCTCAAATTGCAAATGTCTCAATCTCCACTTCCCTCATAACTAGGATTACAGACTTGAGCCAACACACCAGGTCTGTCATTAAAATATTTCTTATCTTGAAGTCCTTTATTCTTTGATGTTTATGTTAACAATATAGTTCTCTTATAACTGTTTGTATTATATATCTTTTTTCTTTTGACCTATTTGTGTTTTTGAATCTAAGGTGTGTTTCTAAGTAGTATGTAATTGAATCTTGCTTTTTATCCATTCTGACAATCTTTGCCTTTTGGGAATAGTGTGTTTACTTTAATTCCATTTAAGGACATTATTGATGTGATATGATTTACATATGTCCTTTTGCTATTTGCTACTTGTTTTCTGCTTGTATCATGTCTTTTAAAATTCTTCTCTTCCTCCTTTTCTCTGGTTATTTTTGAGGTAAGCTATTGCTTTTTACCTAGGCCAACCAGGACTGTAATCCTACTATTTATGCTTCCCACTATAGCTGAGATGACGGAAATATACCACCATGCCCGGCTATTGGTTGAAATGGGGTCTCCTGAACTTTTTGCCTGAGCTTGCCTTGAAATGTGATCCTCCGGATTTCTGTCTCCTAAGTAGCTAGGATTAGCTACTTAGGATCCTGACTCAAATAAACTATTTTTAAAATTATCTGGTGCTCAAGGGATTACAAAATGGATCTTAATTTATCTAAAATTATTAATTTAACTTAATTTCAGCAAAATACAGAGCTTTTCCTCCAATATGCCCCTTTTCCTCTCTCTTTATAATTTATGTAATATATTTTACTTTTATATTTTTAAGAATGTTTTTATGTATTTGGTTTATAAACTGAAAAATGCAATGTTTTCTAATCTCATGTCATTTAAAGAAGATAAGAAAATAATGTCTGTGGTATCATTTATATTTAACAAATGGTTATTATATTTAGTCTTTTCATTTCTTCCTGTGAACTCAGGTTATCACACATTTCTGTTGTCACTCACTTCCCATGATATATGTCTGTAAGCAGTTTCTCTCTGTCTTTATTTATCTGACAATATTTATTTGCATTCTTTTTGAGACAGGGTCTCATTATGTAACCTACTGTACAGACCAGGTTGGCCTCTGCTCCAAGTGCTGGAATTAAAGGTGTATGCTATCAACAAAACCTTTGAGATTTTGATTTATTTTTTTTTTCCAGGTCTTTATTGAGATTTCATATTCACTAGATTTTGTTATAATATTTTCTGTAATTTTAAAACATAGTTTCCTATAGTTCTTTGAAATTTTTATAATAGCTGCTATGAAACCTTTGTTTGCTAAATCTAACATCTGGGGACATTCAGAGACAATTCTGTTGACTGTTTTTCCCTTTAGTGTGGATCACACTTTCTGATTTTCTACATGCCTCATATTTTTTTCTTGGATACTGGGCAATTTTAGATAATTTATTATGGCAACTCTAGATTCTGACTTTTTCCCCTGAGGGTTGTTGTTTTGTTTACTTGGGTTAAATTTTTAATGTCTATCTTTAATTCAGTGTGTGGCCATTGAGATCAGGGTTTTTTTTCTCTTAATTTTTATATTTAAACCTGGGAGTTCCAACCTCAGTACTGTCAAAAAGAGTTGTAAACCCAGTGTTGCCCTGGGATTTTTGTATCTTGGTGTTCAATTGAAGATTGGCCAGAAATTGTGCTCAAGCACCTCAAGCCAGTAAGGCTTCCATTGCCTAATGATGGATCTGTGTGTGGATGGGGTAGCACATTACCCTTCAGACTATTTTAAAGTTTGCCCAGACTTCTATCTGCAGTGAGCTCCCTTGTGTCTCCACATGCAGTCTCCATCAGCTAGCAATGTGTGGGTGTCTTGGGCCCACTCTAGTTTATGCATGATCTCAAAGATATATGGAGAACGTATCATGCCCCCATAGTTGGATTATCTTCTACAACTCCCTGTTACATCCTTGGCCCATTTGCTGATCTATTGATTACCACAAACAGTACCATAATCTCAGACTAAGGGAGCCACTAGTCTTTCCTGTTCTCCATTGAGATTGTCACCTAAACAGTGCTTCAAATCTTGTGAGCTCTGTCTAGCAGCAGCAACAAAACTGCCTTCACAGCTTGCCTGCCCCAGGGGAGCCACCACCCCGATAGAAGGAGGCAGGAGGGAAGCAGCCCTTAATGGAAGTATAGTGCTTTTATCTGAAGTTCAGTCATTTTCAGGAATTTTTCAGTTTTTAGGTTCATCTTTGGCCTGCTATCAGAGTGTTGATATGATTGATTTTTGATAGTTTTATCCAAGTTTATAATTACTTTTTTGGGAGATTTATTGACTTCCTTACTTTGTCATTTGGTAAGTTAATTTTTTATGCATAGTTTTCTTTTTTTTTTTTAAAAAAAGAATTGCTCTTTCCTATAATAAACATGCTTTTAATCCTAATAGGAATAAAATAACAGCAAAGGTACTTATAGTCCCAGGCTATTTGTTAGATAACTATTTGTGTTGTTAAGAAATTTTAAAAGCAACCATAGGGAAGCCACCAAACATCCCTGAATGCCTATCTCTAAATTTCTTATACATGAGAGAAACAAATCAACTACCAACTGTTATTTTGGTAGTTCTGTCAATCACAGTAGGATCTACTCTTATTAATACATTTACTCAGGATGTTTGAAGATAATATGTTTTACTAAAGAAAACTAAACCTTACATTCTAAGATCTACTCATGCCTTCAGGTTTTGCAACCTGAGACAAATCTCATTTTTCCTTTGTGCAGATGGGCTTGTGTGCAGAATGTGGAAGCATGGTACCCATGAATACCCCCATCTGTGTGGTGTGTGAGGCCCCTCTTGCCCTACAGCTGCGGCCACAGGCCAGCCTCCACTTGAAGGTAATGAAGAATGATTCTGTAGAAACATGAATGAAATAAATGAAAAGTAATGTTTGAACAATTATATCTCTTTCTTCAGCTGGTGGAATGGTGTATAAGTGATAAGTTATTATTTGTGAACAAAATCTATTCATAATTTTGCAAAGAAATATGGCCCAAGAGTATAACTTACCAATAGGATCCATAATGTTAAGGGAGATATGTAGGCATATATTTCCTAAACATGAGTTAGGAGGACAAATTGCACTACAGCTAATGTAGACAGTCTTTCCTTTTGTGTTAAACTTCAACATTGCAATTAGTGTTGACTTATAATCTTGTCCTTAAAGTGGCTTCATGCTTTCCTTTACTTTATTTGATTATAGGTTCCTATTATATAAAAAAAAGACTAGACCTACTCACATGGAAAAAGAAATTATGTGTTATTACATAAAATCAAAAAACTTTGCTAGATGAATGATATAGTATGAAAAATTGTTGAGTCACTGTCTTATTTCAGTTATAGTCCCATTCACTTCTACACCAAATTTAAGATCACTAGAGATAAAACAGATTTAATAAAAGGATAAAAAGAAAGAAGTTTTAGCAATAAGGGAAATGCATGGACTTAATGTATAATTAGAATTGAAACACTCCTAAAATGGCTTTGTGGATTCTAGGTAGGTAAAAATGTTTGAGAGAAAAAATAAGTCCATTATTTCTTCTATCTCCAAGCTTTCTTCTTTGTGAAAAAGTTCAATAGTGTTCCAGGCTATTTGTTAGATGACTATTTGTGTTGTTAAGAAATTTTAAAAGCAACCATAGGGAAGCCACCAAACATCCCTGAATGCCTATCTCTAAATTTATTATACATGAGAGAAACAAATCAACTACCAACTGTTATTTTGGTAGTTCTATCAATCACAGTAGGATCTACTCTTATTAATACATTTACTCAGGATGTTTGAAGATTATGTTTCCAAACTCTGTAAGATTCAAAACAGGAGGAATAGGAGTGTTAGTTGTGAACTAAACTTACTATATATCTTGCCATTTTCAATATTTGAAATCTAGAGTTCTTCTAGGAAGACAGAGAGATATAAAGGTATAAATCAGTAATTTGCTCTCTCCTTAATTTGTTGTAAATCCTATAAGTATAAACACAGAACTTCTATAGTGACTTCATAGGACTTCTATAGTACAATGCCCCTTCTACAGTGGCCCCTTTTTTTATTGTTTTATTATTCATATGTGCATACAAGGCTTGGGTCATTTCTCCACCCTGCCCCCACCCCCTCCCTTACCACCCACTCCGCCCCCTTCCTTTCCCCCCACCCCCTCAATACCTAGCAGAAACTATTTTGCCCTTATTTCTAATTTCGTTGAAGAGAGAGTATAAGCAATAATAGGAAGGAACAAGGGTTTTTGCTAGTTGAGATAAGGATAGCTATACAGGGAGTTGACTCACATTAATTTCCTGTGCATGTGTGTTACCTTCTAGGTTAATTCTTTTTCATCCAACCATTTCTCTAGTTCCTGGTCCCATTTTCCTATTGCAGTGGCCCCTTTCTTGTAAAGAAACTTTCATAAGAGAAAGATGGTTACTTTCAACTTGTTTCTACCCCATCGGTGGACCAAAGTTAGAACATGTACCTCATAATGAAGAAATCAACTAAAAATTTATAGATGAAATTTAGAAAATCAAGCCACTAGACTTCTAATGTTTTCAAAGGAAGGTCTGGTGGATAGCTCCATGGTAGAGCACTTGCCTAGCATGCTTGAGTTGCTGGGTTTGAGCCCCAATATCACAAAGAACCAAAAGTCTTCAAAAGGAATTCATGGACTTTGAAATTAGGGTAAGCAAGCCTTGTATTAGCTAAATATTCCTGGAAGTTGTACAGCCTCCAAAATGGCTTTCTCAAACATAAATTTCCTAAGATCATAGGAAATAATGATTTATTATTTTCTGCAGAAGAAGCTCAAGATCATTTCTATTGGCACTACATTTTTCTCTAGTGCTTTGTTTTAGCATTTAATATTTATGATTTTAAAGTACTCAACAAATATGTAATTAATAAATTTGTGATTAATAATTCAGCACTTATATCTCTTTCACCAAAGCATTTGAATCTGTCTTGGGATCCCCTCTTCTCTTTCTCTTTTCCTGGTTTGAAACTAACCACGTAGATACGTAGTATATTCTGCATCCTAAGAGTTTGTTGGAGAAAGTCTGAACTCTCAGCAGTGCCAAGGTGGTATAGAAAGTAGTGTGAACTTGGGGAAGTTGCTGGATATTTGCTTTGTTTAGGGTTCCTTGAACAGGGAGGGGTTGGGGGAAGGGATCTGAAGGAGTGAGGTCTCTAGGCCCTGCCTCCAGGCAGATGACATCCTTTACCATGGCATGGCTATAAACCTCCCTTTAGGTTCACCGAGTTTCTCTGGGTTTTACCTGACACCTTTACTATTAGCCCTTTAGGTGCTGATGTGGCTTTTTAAAGATTTTTTGTTTTGTTTTGGCTTTTCCCCAGCATGCTGCTTGTTGGACCACTCTGTTGGGCTCTGTACACCACAGTCCCCAGGCTCTGACTCCAAGACTTACTGCCCCCTACCTTGACTCAGTGACCTGCATCCCTGCATGCTTTGGTGGTCATGGTGATGGAGGGGTACAGTGGAGGAATTTGTTAATTGTATCAGGGGCTATGGCCAGGGATAGCTTTGAAGAGGATTGCCATCTGAACAGATATGTAAGAATTTGCCAAATGAAGGTGTGTGACAAGGAGAAGCGGCTCACATATATGTGTTTATTGGGGATTGGTGGGATGTTCCAGGCAGATTAAGTTTGTAATGACCTACAAGTTTGTTTCCAACATTCTTCCTCATTTTATTGTGTCAATTAAAGTTTATCATTTGGGAATTCAAAAATTGTTTTCATCTTCCAACTTATTTTTTATAAGGAAAAGCTTTATTTCATTGAATAAGTTGGGTCTACTAAATTGCTTGGAAATATTCAACTAGATAATATGTTGCAAATGCTATGAATGAGATGACAAATGGAAGTATAAAAAGTCCTTATCATAGATGTTTAGCATTTTCATAAAGGCTATCTGATGGTGACTTGAATTTATATCATCCCTCTGAACATCTATGAGTTTATGAGTATAGTCATATAAAATGATTTCTTCCTCCTCTGGAAGGAAGTGAGCCATGGGATGGGGTTAAAAACCACCATAAAAATCATAGAAAAATTTGTTGACCAAGAAAACTATGTTTAGTAGACCTGGTGTGGTAAGGTAGACTACCACTTAAAAAGCTTCTTAGTAGTCTCTTAGAAGGGAAAAGACGAGAGATTCCAAGATGGCGGCTAGAGGGAAGAAGCAGAAAGCAAGCCTCCTATAGTGAAATCTTGGAGAGACGCTGGAGACACACTTTGCAGGCATAATCACTGAGAAGAGGCATAACTTTGACCCCTCCACACCTCCAGCTGGCGCAGAGAATCTCCACTTCATGTTAAACAGAGAAACCAGGAGGGCCCCCGGGCCGCCAGTCGCCGGCGCCCAGATGGCTTGGGAAGATGTGGACCAGGTGAGCTTCGCGGTATGCGGTACTCCCACAGACAAGCCTGGGCCAGAGCAGCATAGCTCCCTGGAAAGACCAACCTCCACCCAGGGAAAAAAAGAGAAAATGAGTAATAAGCAATAAGATCAATAAAGACACGCGGGAAAGAGGGTGGGGCGCACTGAGCGCCAAAGACTGGGGGAAGGGAACCCTTCCCGGGACTGTAAATAAACAAGCCGGCCTGGCCAGAGAGCCTCTGGTGGGAGTGTGGGCGCGTGCCCAGCAACCAGGAGCGGGAAAGCTTGTGAGAGTGGCGGAGGGAGGAAAACTCCACAGGAGAGGAGGGAAGACCCACTTCTCATGTGAACTGTAAACAAACATGGGGGCTGGCAGGAGCAGCAGCACTGCCCAGTAATCAGGAGCAGGAAAGCTTGTGAAAGTGGTGGTGGGAGGAAAACTGCACAGGAGAGAGGGGAAGACCCACCTCCCACATGAACTGTAAATAAACACGCAGGCCTGACAACGCGGGTGCAGTGTCACTTTTCCCAGTGTGTTTGGAAAGGGGAAAGCTTGTAGCAGAGGCTCACACACAGAAGAAATCTGAGCAAACAAAGCCTGCAGGGCCAGGTGAGTGCTAAGCTCACCCCTGAGATCTGCATAAATAACACCTCCAGCAACAGCAGGCTGACAGCAGCGGGCAGGCAAGCAACAGCTGCAGATACCATTCTCAGAACTGTCTCCAGACTCTTTTTTTTTTTGTCTCCCTACCTTTGATGAGAGAACAACCAAATTATACCTGCAAGCTGAAAAACTTACTGAAACTGTATTGCATTTGAACTTGGGACACTTGGTGTGGTTTTTTTTTGTGCGTGTGTGTGTAGTTTTGTTCTACTTTATGTGTCCTTTTTGATGAGACAACTACAGAACATCATCTGAGGCACCATCTCTAAGACTGGAGACTGAGATGGACACCCAAATTATTAAGATTGAAACTTCATTGCATTTGAACTTGGAGGTTTTTTGGTTTTTTGGGTTTTTTAAAATTTTCTTTTTCATTTTATTTTAATACATTTTTATGTATAAATTTTTCTTTCATTTACTTATTTTTTATTTTTATTCTTATCTTTTTTTATTTTTGATTTTCAATCCTCTGTCTCTCTAATGTCAGTTCAGCTTACTGTCGATTAGTACACTAAAGCTCCCTGTTTATACCTTTGAAACCTTCTTGTCTGATACCTTGTTCTGTTTTCTCCTTCCAGTCTGTGTATTTGTTTTTCCCATTTCTTTACCTTCTTTCCTTCCCTTCTCCTCTCACCCTTCCATTTTAGATATCACCATTGTTATTATTACAAGCTAGAAAATGCTTAATTGCACACAGTACAGGGACAGTAACAATAGCAAGGACAATGCTGGGAAGACAGAAAAAAGAGGGAAATCATTTTCTCCCCAGCAATAAATTAGTACAGGAACCAGAGGGGAATGAAGAAAACAGGTACTCAGATCCAGACTCCAACAAAATGAAGGTAAACTATGCCAAAGGACCCAATGACGCCCACAAGAACACCTTGAAAGAAGAAATCCTGCAAGTAACCAAGGAGAATTTTATAGAGATGATACTGGATATGGTCAACCAAAATGTACAGGAGATACTCAAGAAATTCCAAGACAACAAAAATAGAGAATTTGAAAAAGGAAAAGAAGAAATAAAGGAAACCATAGAATCACTGTATAAACACCAAAGTGAAAGAGAGAACACGATGAATAAACAGATAAATGAACTCAGGACAAAAATAGACAACATTAAAGAGGAAAACAGCCAGGATATGGAAAACCTCAGAAAAAAGAAAGAAACAGAACTGCAAAACAAAACGGAAGGCCAATCCAGCAGAATAGAACAAACAGAAGACAGAATCTCAGAACTTGAAGGTGAAATGGTAAATAAAGGAAAAACTGAAGAACTATTAATTGAACAACTCAAGACCTGTGAAAAGAAAATGCAAGAACTCACCAACTCCATCAAAAGACCAAACTTGAGAATCATGGGCATCGAAGAAGGACAAGAGGTGCAAGCGAAGGGTATGCGTAATATATTTAACAAAATAATAATGGAAAATTTCCCAAATCTGGAGAAAGATATTCCCATACAGATGCAAGAGGCCTCCAGGACACCAAACAGACCAGATCAAAATAGAACTACCCCACGACATATCATCATTAAAACAACAAGTTCAGAAACTAGAGAAAGAATATTGAAGGCTGTAAGAGAGAAAAAAACAAGTAACATACAAAGGTAAACCCATCAAAATCACAGCAGACTTCTCAACAGAAACATTAAAAGCAAGAAGAGCTGGGGTGAGATCTTCCAGGGCACTGAATGAAAATAACTTCAACCCCAGGATACTCTACCCAGCAAACTATCATTCAAAATAGATGGAGCAATAAAAGTCTTCCATGATAAGCAGAAACTAAAACAATATGTGACCACAAAGCCACCACTACAAAAGATTCTGCAAGGGATTCTGCACACAGAAAGTGAAACCCAACTTAACCATGAAAAGACAGGCAGCACCAAACCACAGGAAAAGAAAAAGCAAGACAGTAGAGAGTAACCTCAACTTAGGTACACACAATCAAACCTTCAAACAACTAAGACAACTAAATGACAGGAATCACCACATACCTATCAGTACTAACACTTAATGTTAACGGACTTAATTCACCCATCAAAAGGCACCGCTTGAAGAAATGGATTAAAAGGGAAGATCCAACAATTTGTTGCTTACAGGAGACCCATCTCACCAACAGAAATAAGCATAGGCTAAGAATGAAAGGCTGGAAGAAGATTTACCAAGGCAATGGCCCACGAAAACAGGCAGGAGTAGCAATACTTATCTCTGACAAAGTAGACTTCAAACCTACATTGATCAAACGAGATAAAGAAGGACATTCCATACTAATAAAAGGGGAAATAGACCAAAAGGAAATAATAATTATCAACCTGTATGCACCCAATGTCAATGCACCCAGTTTCATCAAACATACCTTGAAGACCTAAAAGCATATATAAATGCCAACACAGTGGTTGTGGGAGACTTTAACACCCCATTATCATCAATAGATAGGTCATCCAAGCAAAAACTCAATAAAGAAATCCAAGATCTAAAATATGCAATAGATCAAATGGACCTACTTGATGTCTACAGAACATTTCATCCAACTTCTACACAATATACATTCTTCTCAGCAGCCCATGGAACCTTCTCCAAAATAGATCATATTCTAGGGCACAAAGCAAGTCTCAGCAAATACAAGAAAATAGAAATTATACCATGCATACTATCTGATCACAATGCAGTAAAAGTAGAACTCAACAACAAAAGTAAAGACAAAAAGCATGCAAACAGCTGGAAACTAAATAACTCATTACTTAATGAAGACTGGATCATCGATGAAATAAAAGAGGAAATTAAAAAGTTCCTGGAAGTCAATGAAAATGAAAACACAACCTACCGGAACCTATGGGACACAGCTACCTCAACATTATAAAAGCTATATATGACAAATCTACAGCTAGCATTATACTTAATGGAGAAAAACTGAAACCATTCCCTCTAAAATCAGGAGCAGACAAGGATGCCCACTATCTCCACTCCTATTCAACATAGTAGTAGAATTCCTAGCCAGAGCAATTAGGCAAGAAGAAGGAATAAAAGGAATACAAATAGGTAAAGAAACTGTCAAAATATCCCTATTTGCAGATGACATGATCCTATACCTTAAAGACCCAAAAACTCTACTCAGAAGCTTCTAGACATCATCAATAGCTACAGCAAGGTAGCAGGATATAAAATCAACATAGAAAAATCATTAGCATTTCTATACACTAATAATGAACAAACTGAAAAAGGATATATGAAAACAATTCCATTTATAGTAGCCTCAAAAAAATCAAATACCTAGGTGTAAACCTAACAAAAGATGTGAAAGACCTCTACAAGGAAAACTATAAACTTCTGAAGAAAAGAGATTGAGGAAGACTATAGAAAGTGGAGAGATCTCCCATGCTCATGGATTGGTAGAATCAACATAGTAAAAATGTCGATACTCCCAAAAGTAATCTACATGTTTAATGCAATTCCCATCAAAATTCCAATGACATTCATTAAAGAGATTGAAAAATCTACCGTGAAATTTATATGGAAACACAAGAGGCCACAAATAGCCAAGGCAATACTCAGTCAAAAGAAAAATGCAGCAGGTATCACAATACCCAAATTCAAAC